TGATCGTCCGTCTGCAGAGCGTAATCGTTGTCACTATATGGAGCGCTAATGCATTACGCTATTTCTTGCGTATACTAAAAAAACAGATCGAACACAAAAGTATAATTTTGAATTTTGTTACCAATGAGTAAATCGTACGTTTTTCTACATAAACTGAAAAAGATCCAAGCCTTATGGATACCCAAAATTAATTAAAAAACAGTTTTTGTTTTCTAGTTGAGTCTTTTTTGTCCCTTTTTTAAGTTTAAACTTGTCGATAAATATTCTTAAAGAGAAATTGACCATGTTTGACTTCTTGAACGATTTCAAAGAACTTCAGTACTGTCTATATCTTTTTACATCATACACCAAATTTTCATTCTCATTTTTTTTAGAACGTACTTCATGTGAGTTAGATAATTCTTATATAATTCTTACATAAATGTGGTCTGTTTACGTAGACTCGACTTCTTTTCCGAAATTTTCTAGCTTCTGATTTCTTGATTGTCAACTATTAGTTTTTTTAAGTTGAAATTGTTAAATTTTTTTAGATAATAAAATGACCAGACGCTGTTTAAATTGACGGTTTATCACGATACATGTATTACCTATGTGTGTGTGGAGGAAACATTTAATAAAATATTATATTATTTTCTTTGATAATGTATGCCATTCATTCGATTTGGGAAAAAAGTTTAGTTAACTCTTTCATGCCTCTGAGACATATAAGTCTCACTTACAAAAATTATTATAACTTTTAAACAAATAGTCCTATCAACTTCTATCTTAACTTGTTTTAAAGATAAAAGTTCAAGCTACATGTATAAACTATCGCACACTTTGAAATATTATGTTTTCAATAAAATATAGTTATTTAAACTTTGTTAAAAATCCAAGTTTTAGGTAGTGCAGAATAACTTTTTATTATGTCGAAAATTCATTGAATTAATGCTAGTTATATACTTAAAGTCTGAAAGCAATAATTGATAGCTTTATCAATTAGAAAGATCTTGTGTTTTCACCCGTGCTATTATATACTATGGCCTTTTTTTCGCAACTCTAGCGGACATATTTGCATATACAATGTACTCAAAAGTTCCTTGTAATAGTTACTCGAAATATATTATCTTGACGAAATTTTTACATTCGAATTATAATTAATATTTAGAAAAAAAAATAATTTAAACTTTTATTTTGAATATATCGATATTTGAAATTCATAACCACTAACTTGAATTCACCACTTTGAATTTCAGTTTTAATAGTTGATTTGAAATCAGCGCTCCTAAAAATCTATAGAACCGTCTCCGTATAAAACGTATCTCTTCTGGGAAAGCCGGAGGCACGAAAGGGTTAAACCTCTTATTCATTACTACATTTGACAACTCATTTGGTTGCCATCACTTTTCTGGAATAGTCTAATTCAACATCACGATTAACTAATCTTGCTAAACACTTAACTCGTTCGTGACAATAAATATAATAGTGATATATGTAAAAGTAACAGATATGTAAAAGTGATTATAACAACATCAAAATTATGCCGAGAAAGAATTAAGGTAATTAGTTCGCTATATATAATCCAGAAATTGAGTTCACTTGACTTGAACCTTGTCGCAATCGATCTTTTTCTATGGTGTATTACTATTTCTTTCTCCCTGTGTACAATTTAACGTCTTTATCGATTATCCCTCATAAAACACGCACTGAAAACTACACAACTAAACAACTCCACTGTTATTATTATAAAATAATTTAACCGGTAATCGTGTTGTTTTTTCTTCTTTATCACAATTTGATCTACGATATGTGCAAGTGTGATCTATTCTCGACATATTCGATTCAATCAGTGACAACACACTTTATTTTATTTATTGCGAAATATTCCTGCACACGAGTTTCCGAGATAAACTGCGCTGCACTTTTCTTCTACGTTTCAGCTATAATCGCGCGATTTTATTATAAGCTGTTGGACGGCGTGCCAAAAGTAGAAGTCAATACTGCGCGGTGTTGTGCGTATAGAAGTTACATCGCTTTATCATGCTAATACAGATGCAGTTGCCACTCGGCCGATGTTATGTTACGCTCAATGTCGATCATGACGCGTCAATGAATCAAATTGGAAGTAAAACTGACAAGCGACGCGCTTGTAAAGTACGATACGCGATTTCGCTTTTTGAAAGCTTTATTGTTCATAAATTCTGTGCTGTTTGTGCGGCAAGATATGATTACTACTTTAGAGAAGAAAATGAACGACGGCACAAATTTAATATATTATGGCACAACGGTGATCTAATTTATTTGTTAAAAAATGGAATATATACATTAATTTTTTTTTATTACCCTTGGACCTTATTATATCTGTGATCTGAAATATATTTCTAAGCGAAGAAACCATTTTACTACATTATTAAATTAGTTTCCTCGCTTAGAAATACGTTTCAGTCTACAGTTGTAATAAGAGTAATTGTAGTTGTACTACGAGTAATTTAAAAAAATTTTAATTATTTCATCGATATCATGATATCGTGAGAGATGAATAGTTTTTTAAAATATTGGCACATATTCATCGGTCGAATTCATCGCATATACTTTATCCTCTCTAAAAAAAGACATGTAAGAGATTTAATTGTTGCCGCTTTTCCGCGATGCTGATTGGTTCTCTCGCTTAGCTCACTTCATGTGGACTGCGGCTTGCTTCGTGTCATTTGCGCTTATGAAATTACCAGGCAAATAGCTGTCATCGCGTTAGGTCATGAAAAAAAATACAGAAGAGATATGTCTCTCCCTGTCTCTCCCTGTCTCTCCCTGTCTCTCCCTGCCTCTCCCTGCCTCTCCCTGCTTCTCCTGCCTCTCCTGTCTCTTCCTATCTCTCTCTGTCTCTCCCTGTCTCTCCCTGTCTTTCTCTGTCTTTCCCCATCTCTCCCCGTCTCTCCCTGTCTTTCCCCGTCTCTCCCTGTCTCTCCCTGTCTTTCTCTGTCTCTCCCTATCTCTCCCCGTCTCTCCTTCTCTCCCTGTCTCTCCCCGTCACTCCCTGTCTCTCCCTGTCTTTCCCCGTCTCTCCCTGTCTCTCCCTGTCTTTCTCTGTCTCTCCCTATCTCTCCCCGTCTCTCCTTCTCTCCCTGTCTCTCCCCGTCACTCCCTGTCTCTCCCTGTCTTTCCCCGTCTCTCCCTGTCTCTCCCTGTCTTTCTCTGTCTCTCCCTATCTCTCCCCGTCTCTCCTTCTCTCCCTGTCTCTCCCCGTCACTCCCTGTCTCTCCCTGTCTTTCCCCGTCTCTCCCTGTCTCTCCCTGTCTTTCTCTGTCTCTCCCTATCTCTCCCCGTCTCTCCTTCTCTCCCTGTCTCTCCCCGTCACTCCCTGTCTCTCCCTGTCTTTCCCCGTCTCTCCCTGTCTCTCCCCATCTCTCCCCGTCTCTCCCTGTCTCTCCCTCTCACCCTGTCTCTTCCTGTCTCTCCCCGTCTCTCCCTGTCTCTCCCTGCCTTTCCCTGCTTCTCCTGCCTCTCCCTGTCTCTCCTTGTTTCTTCCTGTCTCTCCCTGTCTCTCCCTATCTTTCCCTGTCTTTCCTCGTCTCTCCCTGTCTCTCCCTGTCTTTCTCTGTCTCTCCCTATCTCTCCCCGTCTCTCCCTCTCTCCCTGTCTCTCCCCGTCTCTCCCTGTCTCTCCCTGTCTTTCCCCGTCTCTCCCTGTCTCTCCCCATCTCTCCCCGTTTCTCCCTGTCTCTCCCTTTCTCCCTGTCTCTCCCTGTCTCTCCCTGCCTCTCCCTGTCTTCTCCCGTCTCTCCCTGTCTCTCCCTATAATTATTAATTAATTAAAGTATATTTTAATTTAATTTGATTTTTATTTTACAATTTTTATTGTTTTTTATTAGCTATATGACGCGTGCGTAGCACGCGCATGTATTGCTCTAGTAAACCTAAAAAGCAAATGTTTGTCACTGCGAAATTTGAGCAGAATTATTGTACAAATCGATAAGCTAACGATATGCTTTCATTACCCGTTTTTTATAGCAAGAGATATAATTTTCCGTAAAAAATGCAGTAGTTCTTTATACATGCATTAATGTTATATTTATTAAAATGTTTACAAGCTCCAGTATTTAGAACATATTATTAAAAGATATGTTGCAATATTCTTAAGACAAAGCAATGAAAGAATCAAAATAAAAAATACTGATAAACACTTTAAAATTGGATACACTAATCAGCAATCTAACTAATCAGAAGTTCACTCATGTTAATATGTGTTACTGATTGTTGATTCATATTTATTTGGACATTGAACCGGTAAAGTGAGCAAATGTTTACAACTGATTGTGCAAACTGTTACGTTTTCATTATTTCTTATCTTTCCAATTTATTCGATAATTTGCATTAATATTTCACTTTACCAATTACGCTACGTAATTACACAGTTACTGGAATCTTGATATCTATTAGAAAATTACAATAAAAAAATTATAATAACTTATAAGCTCTCACAAGGAATGTAAACATAAACACTAAAAATTGTTTGAACTTACAAGTACTGCTATTTAAAGTAATACTGTAAATTTGATATTAAATATTAATAAAAATAACATTTCTAATAGCACGTTAAACTTATCTTAAAGTCTCCTACAATATTATGAAAAAAGAAATTGCACAGTGCCGTTTACAAAATTTAAATAATGATAATTTTTTCCATAAAAAATTTTTTTTCTATTTTTTTATTGCAAGTTTATTGCATTTTTGGTTTATTTTTTATTTTTTTATTGCAAGTAGTAACTTATTATTTGTTTTTTTATTGCAAGCATAAAACAAATAAACCTTCTTTACTTTATAACCTTATATGTATATATATATATATATATATATATATATATATATAAGGTTACATATAATGTATATATACATTACATATAATTTATATATTTATTTATATATTATATATATAACTATTTATATATTATATATATACTTTTAAATACATAATATAACTATATATTAGAGAGATATTTCTCAAATGTAAATTGTCTGTTTCAGACATACCAGAAATTGCGGCCAGAACATTTATGGAAAAACAATCCTCGTTTTTAAGGAATTATTTTAAGAAGTCTTTTTAAGAAATCTGTTTAAGAAGCTACATTAATGCGTGGCACATTAAATGTGAAGCTACATTAAATGTGGAAACGAATGTCAAGGGACTTCTGATAAATTGGAGACTCAGGACTGCTGGAGATATCGTTATCGCAGTCAAACGAAGATCAACAGCTACAAGCTACAGTTACAGTTAACGGTTACGAATTTATTTATAAAAAGAAAAAGAAAGAAAAATAATTTATAAAAATAAACATTCGTGACAAAATATACAAGCGACCTAAGCACTATCAGTACAAAAATATTTCATTTAAAGAAATAAAAATATAAACGTAGGTAGCTAAATCTGTCTTCCAGCGTTATACACAACTCGTGCCGAAGCATTGGAATAGCAACAATATCGTGAATTGAACGAAGAGACGCAACAACCGGCAAAATGCAATCCATACGCGCTCATCGTGCACTGAATAGACACAAAACCGTGCTGCAAATATGGAAAATCGCCACGAGAAGCTTTGGTACGGACGTAGAATACAGACCAATCAGGAGTGTCCTCGTCGCCAATCGAGGTAAATAAAACGTATTATTCACCTTCACTTGAATAATGCAAGATTCTCTTTAGAAAGTGGAAAACGCTGAAGGTCTTATCTGTAAGAGTTGTTATAAGCGACGTTACATGATCTTGTTGTCTCCTCACGGAGCCTTTTGATTCTCTAATAAAATATCATATTTTATTGTCTTCAGCGAACTGTTTTCACTGCTAACGAATCGTGTCAATGGGTCTTGGAAGACGAATGAAAAAGGCAACTTATCTCGCGCAGAAAATTGATAAGACAACGATGTGTTACACGCGTGATTACCCGAGAGCCCGCTCTCGAGAACGCCGCAGATTCATTAAGGCATTTATTGACGCCAAGCCCTGGTTGCACGTACTTACTGCTATTCATGTTTCACTTCACTATTCCTTTCAACGCGAACACAATGCAGAAGATTGCTCATCAGATTCATTCAAATTCGTTCTTTTTTCGCTCTGTTCCATTTCCAAGACGCAGTATATCACGATGTGCAGTGCCGTAATCACGTAATTATATTATGGTAACCGCGTTGAACTCGTTAATTACACCGTAATAAGTGTCAAAGAGAAAAAGAACATGCTCTCCAAATAATTGAGGCTACTTTCATCGAACGCGATATCGAGTATACGATCGACATAATTGATCGAGGTTACCTCAAACGTTATCGAATGCTTGCTTGTTGATTTTCGTAGGACAAGGTCGCGCAGTTAATCGAGATATGAAACGATGTTATTCCCGATTTAGCACGAAGCCGTATAGAACACGAGCTGGTACTTCGTTTAATTAAACGTCTTGGCGGCGCAAAATTATCCAATCGAGCCGAGCTCTTTAACTGATTCAGTACTTCAAAACACGAGCTAATCTCCGTCAACTTTGCGATCTTTTTTGGATCACAATGAATAAATAGATATCTATCTCGGCGTGTGCTTCGTCTCGATTTATTTTAAAATAGATATAATATATTTAATCATTTATTGTGATCCGAATAAGCTCGAAAAGCTAATGAATATTAGCTTGTATTTAAATATTGAGTCAGCTAAAAAGTTCGGTTCGACTAATGTTATGCTGCCAAAACGTTGACAAAAAATCACGAGATTTTACTTGATGAATAATTCGTTTATCGTCGAAAACGATAAAGTAATGAACGATAAAGTAAACGATAAACGATGAATAATTTTTATTGTCGAAAAGGATAAAGTAATATTGACTCAAAAATCAAACTTTTCGACTGTCGATTCCCTCGCGATATCCTACGTGATCTCAATGTGTGAACATGACAATTTTCAGGAGAAATTGCCGTTCGTGTGTTCCGCGCTTGCACGGAGCTTGGCATTCGCTCCGTGGCGATTTATTCGGAGCAAGATAAGATGCAGATGCACCGACAAAAAGCAGACGAGGGCTACTTGGTAGGCAGAGGACTGCCTCCGGTGCAAGCTTACTTGAACATTTCTGAAATCATTCAAGTCGCCAAGGAAAATGACGTCGATGCCATACATCCTGGCTACGGTTTCCTCTCAGAGAGATCGGACTTTGCACAAGCCGTGACCAACGCTGGCATCAGATTCATCGGACCTAGTCCCAAAGTTGTTCAACAAATGGGCGACAAGGTAATCCCGTGTTACCATCCTGAACTCCCCAATAGACGTTTTTGATGAAATTTTTCAAATTATTCGAGATTCGCAACTGCGAGACTGTCGAGCTAATTACGATCATTCTTCATTATCCAAATTTCCATTAACCTAACCATTAATCTCTAGATAGCAAAGCCTGACCACGTTCTTTTCAACAATTATGGCCGAAATTGCTTCTCCATGAATTCAAGATTTCTTTTCGTTGTTCGTGGCAAGAACGATAATATAAAACGTTGAAGATTGCTCGATATTTCCGATATATCCTCAAGAAGAACTAGAGAATTATTTAATGGACCTACATAATCCCGAAAAATCAAAATCCCAGAATTTGATAGAAGTGAGATAACGTCCCAAAAAATTACAATCCCGAAAATGGAGTGGAACAGGGACAATCTTCCGAAATATTGAAAGCATAGAGTTGTCTTACAAAGTTGTATAAGTTATTGATAATTTCATATTTTCAATATTCCGGCTGTCCCTGTACTCACTCTGTACTAGTTTTTATGATTATGACTTTTCAGGGCGACGGTACGCTTTCAATATTTCGGGAAAATTCGATGAATCGTCCCGGTATTCTCAGTTTTCGGGATTGTGGCTTTTCAGGACTTTTTCTCAGGATTATGCATGTCCACCAATTTTTGTTTCTTTTTAATTCTCCGGCATCTATTGCATAACAAGTACAAAGGATATATTCAATACATACATAGGTAGCCGCCAGACAAGCTGCGATCGAAGCTGGAGTACCCATCGTACCAGGAACAGATGGACCAGTAACAACCTCCGAAGAGGCAATAGAATTCTGTATGAAGCATGGCCTGCCGGTTATCTTTAAGGCAGCTTACGGAGGAGGAGGACGAGGTACGTTCGGGATATATCGAAAGTCACATTCTCTCATCTGAAGACAAAAAAACTTACGATTTACTGTGTACAAGTTACAGTTGGGAAGAAGTAAACGCTTCTTTAAGGCTGCATTAGCTTTGGACTCTTTCATACTGATAGCATCATTCTATCATTATTGCTCATTACACACTGAGAGAAAAATGATCTTAAAATCAACAAATATTTCCTTGGTGGGTGCCATTAACATATTTACTTAAATCTACATTCTCTTTACTTAAATCAAATATTGTTTATTTAAATCAAGTAAACAATATTTGATTTAAATAAAGAGAATGTAGATTTAAGTAAATATGTTAATGGCACTCACCAAGGAAATATTTGTTGATTTTAAGATAATTATTCTCTCAGTGCATGTCGGAAGAAGAGTGAATTATACTTTCAGCACCGAAAGCGTCGAAAACGAACGCAGCCTAAGACTAGTAAAGTTATCGAGAATTAAAATTCAAACTCCTTAAACCAAAGGCACGATTAATTTACATGAGTTTTCGCTACGGAAAAAGCATCTTAGTGACTAATTCTTGCGCTGTAGAAATAATTTATTCTTTGACATTGTCAAGTTTTTTCAAAAAGTTTATCTTCCTTTGTTGCATAAAATAATACGAATAAAATGTTATACAAGCGAACAAGAAACCAGACACGCTAAGGTAACCGTTTAAGGTAATGTTCATATCTTCGCCTTTTCTAAAAGATATTCGCATAAGTCGTGCGTCAAGAATATACGGTATTGTTTTTTTTCTTTGAATATTCCGAGCAAGTAGAAAACGCATTTCTCTGTTATTTAACAATGCGAAAAATATTTGTGCACTAAGCGAGCCAGTTTGTTTCGCGATATTGTTGCGATATAATGAATGCGCATATCTTGCTTTAAATGAAATTGCTAATGTATAGATATTTAAATAATAACGAGTATTTAAACGTACGTATAAAATGCGTAAACAAGTTTAAACAATCAGGTTAAAATATAAAAAGTAAAAAATAATTTTGGGATGGTCATTTTTCATCAATTAACAATTATCATGAAATTAGCATGAAATTTCCTTATAATAGTTAATATTATAAATTTGATTGAATACATTATATAGAATATTAGCATATTAAAAACAATTTATCCGTTATGTGTATCATAATATTTCGTATTGATAGCATAACAGAAAAAAGATGCGCATACAAGATGTCCGGTAACTCACGGAGGAGCCGCAGTGTAGATCAAGTCAAACAAAACAAAAAGTTCCTTTGCGAACGACCACGTAAAATTTGGAGTTATTAATCAAAGAAGACTCGTAAATGGTCACAATAATGGTAGATGAATTATAATGGCGACTTCTGCACAGTTTTGTTGTCTTAATGTACAGTTAATGTGTGTATATTAATGTGCCAATCTTCTCTAATTAATAACTAAACATCTATGTGGTTATTTGAAAAATGGTAAAAGACTTTTTGTTTAATTTGATCTAATATACAAGCATACAGCGGCAGGCATCGCCACAACTCATTTATCGTATGGCGCGTGATGATTCACGAATCTTCTTTGGTTAATAACTCAAAATTTTGCATGATTGTTCGCAAATTGAGAAATTTTTCGTTCTGTTTAAACTAATCTACCTGTACATCGCGGCTCTTCCGCAAGTTACACCCTGTATATCCCGGCCGACGTGATATATTCCATTACTCAAGATATTACATCTTCTTGCAGGTATGAGAGTCGTAAGACAAATGGAGGAAGTACGCGAGATGTTCGATCGTGCGTCTTCCGAAGCCGCGGCTGCTTTCGGAAACGGCGCGATGTTTATCGAGAAATTCATCGAGAGACCACGTCACATCGAGGTGCAATTACTCGGAGACCATGCCGGCAATGTCGTGCATTTGTACGAACGCGATTGTTCGGTGCAACGTCGTCATCAGAAGGTATTCGAATTATTTCGAATTCATTCTGAGCAATTCTATCTTAGGCCGCACTATTGATCATACTCTCTTAAAATGAACCAGTGAAACATCACTGAAAACAGTGAATATACACTGATTTGCAATTATAAGTGTTGCACTGAAAGTGCTATACTTATAACTGATATCAGTGACTATTCACTGATTCACTTTAAGAGAATACGTTCAAGTATTCCATCGGCGATGCTTCTCATATTTGTTCGGATAATGTTTCTACTGCTATTTTAGGAACTTTTTAGAAAATAATTAACTGAATTCCTTCAGTGTATATTCGTCCACTGACGATATTTAGTCAAAATTAGAGTCGCGTACACCGCAAATAATTAACTGCAACTGTAAAATCTTATTTACAAACGGAACAAGCTTATTTGATTCTTAAGAAGTACGTTAGAGAGATGATAAAATGTAAGAAACGCACGTGGAATATCGTACAAGACATGTTCTTCGAAATGAATCCACAAATATTTTCGAGTCTAAATTACTGATTGCTATAATTTACGAATCGTGCATATATGTGTGTGTATGTGTGTGTCAGTATAACCTCTCGAACCAACAAGTTTTTGTAGCTCTGCGAAGAGATTAGAGGCTGAGGCATTTTTTACAACGTCTCTTCAAGGATGCTCGAATACGAAAGGCAAGCACATTCACTGCGGTGATTCGCGTGCATTTGTCTCGTTCAAGACGAGGACACTGACGCAATCACACGAGAGATTCAAGGACAGTAGTGCACAAATACACAATATATGATTTTGCAAATTAATAATAACTCGGTTTCAAAGCGCGCCTTGATCGGTTTGGTGCGCCTCCAAATTGCGAAAACTACTTATGACAGATATAACAACGACTCAGATGAGCTCAATCGACACGGGATTTCTGCTGTTAACTCTTAAATGGCTTCTTCGTAAAATTCTTCAGGTCGTCGAGATCGCGCCAGCGCCGTCGTTATCAACTAAGATCCGCGAAAAGATGACTGAGCACGCTGTAAAATTGGCGAGACACGTCGGTTACGCGAACGCCGGTACTGTAGAGTTTTTGGTCGACGAATCTGGGAATTTCTACTTTATTGAGGTCAACGCCAGGTTGCAAGTCGAGCACACAGTAACTGAGGAAATAACTGGGTAATGGAACTGATTTTATTCAAAATTACGAGTACTTTATCGCGTCTCTTCCATTTTATTGTTCCCTTCCTCAATTAGTTTACGTAATTGAACTGCAAATCCGTTTGTTAATCTCTTATCGAATAATTTCTCTCAGTGTAAACTTTACTGACAATCTATTCTTAGGCTACTAAAAACATAGTAAAATTAAAAAGAATTTATGTGAAAGGAAACTAATAATTTTTTTCATACAATTACATGTTTTTTCAATGCGAATTATAAAAAGTATTTGCAGCTATTTACAAATACATGGCACTTAGTTAAAAAATAATATTTGTAATATCAAGAGTGTGCATTTATTTCGCACACACACACAAGTATCAGATACTTTATACTACTCGTTAATTATCGTCTCATTCACGCCGCCTTCATCCTTCCAGAATCGATCTCGTGCAATCCCAAATCCGAATCGCTGAGGGCATGACGTTACCGGAACTCGGTATGACGCAGGAAAAGATCATACCTCAAGGATTCGCAATACAATGTCGCGTGACCACGGAGGACCCAGCCAAGAGTTTCCAGCCGGACACCGGAAGGATAGAAGTCTTCCGTTCCGGCGAGGGCATGGGCATTCGATTAGACGGAGCTTCAGCATTCGCTGGCTCTATAATTTCGCCGTATTACGACTCGCTGCTCGTTAAGGTACACTACCGACGACACTATTAGAACATAATACGTTACTATACGCGACGTAACATAATACGTTACTATACGGAGAGAATGTTGTAGTAAGAATTATTACAGGATTTTGTAATCGAGGAATACACTGACATTCTGCAGCATTCGCTATCCTTTCGTTTTATATGTGCTGCTTATATTTTAAAAACTAGAACGTGCTGCTAAAGCACGTTGCTATGTTTCTAGCGAAATTTACTACGTTCCTTAGCAAAATACATTGAGAGAAATTATCCGACAAAAAATTAACAAACGGATATTTCCAACCAAAATATCGATAAATTTTTATATTCCATCAGGATATCCGATTAAATTTAATCGAATATTTCTGATCATAGCATTTCATTAGATAAACCGATCAGGAAATTATCGATATTTCTCATTGGATATTTCCTGATTGGATACAAAAATTCATCGGTATCTTAATCGGAAATATCCGTTTGTTAATCTCTTATCGAATAATTTCTCTCAGTGTAAACTTTATTGCCAATCTATTCTTAGGCTACTAAAAACATAGTAAAATTAAAAAGAATTTATGTGAAAGGAAACTATAATAATTTTTTTCGTATAATATTACATGTTTTTATAATATTAATGTTACATGTTTTTATAATATTAATGTTATAATATTACATGTTTTTTCAATGCAAATTATAAAAAGTATTTGCGGCTATTTACAAATACATGGCACTTAGTTAAAAAATAATATTCGTAGAAACACTTCGTAGAAAAATTATAAAACATATATCGTATCAGAAATTCTTGCAAAATTCTTGTGTGTAAGACTACGTCTGTTTCATCAGGTGATCGCCCACTCCGGTGACCTTCAGTCTTCTTGCGCCAAGATGAACCGCGCTCTCCGTGAATTCCGCGTACGCGGGGTAAAGACGAATATACCTTTCCTGCTGAACGTTTTGGAGAATCAGAAGTTCCTCAACGGTGTCGTCGACACGTACTTCATCGACGAGAATCCTCAGCTTTTCCAGTTTCATCCGAGCCAGAATCGCGCACAGAAGTTGCTGAACTACATCGGCACAGTTCTGGTGAACGGTCCTAGTACGCCTTTGGCGACTCAGCTGAAACCGGCGGACGTCAAACCGCATATTCCACAAATTGCTCTAGGTACATATATGACTGATCATCTGTGTGAATACAGTAGTAACAGTAGTTGGGATAATGGTGAACATTAAGAATTCACATCTGAAACACCACTGGACTTACACGAACGAATTTCTTAAACACACATTACACCATTATACGATTCTCGATGACGCAAAGTTCATTTTAATCGTACACCTTAGGCTAATCGTAGAAAATTCAATTCATTTCGAATTTATAGCCGAATTCTGGTTTTAATGAATGACATTTCGCTCAGATTATGCGGCAAGATCATTCTAGCCGTAATTAAAGCAGAGGCGTACGAAGAATGTGCTTTTACGTGTGAACAAAATAGGGATCTTCTTTCTTTTCTTCTTCTGTTTATGTGAATAGGTTATCTGCTATTTTTTCTGGAAGAATCAATTTACACGATTCCTGTTGCAGATTAATTCCAAAAATGTCTATAACGATCTTAATATTTAATGATGTTATATTCATAGGAAAAAATAGCAAATATCGTTTTCACATAACAGTAATAAAATAAATCTTTTCCCAAATTTACAGGAAACTTAATTGGACTGTTAAGATCTCTATGGTATATTCTTTTTCTATTGATATGGTTTTGCGTGTTTTTTACCAAAATTCAAAATTATTGCACCACCTCACAGTAAGGTCATCGCACCCTACGCGAATTGGACAATAGACTCATGAAACATCTTCATATGTCTCTACTTATATCATCCTCAGTTTTGTAATAAATAATAATAATCAAAGCATGGCCAATAATTCAACATCTCTTTTTTGCGCACGATTAAAAACTCATTTGTAATTAAAATATCATTGATGTATCATCATGCGTTTATAAATGGGATAAATCGGGACAAATCCTAAATATCTTCTGCTCTCGATGATTTAGATTAGATATCATTGTTTCCACGCAGTGATTTATTCGTATATTTTTCTTTTAGACATTAATTTTCCTTTTGTACACTTAATTGTTTATCGCATGCTTTTATCTTTTTGTTTGACAATTTTTTTAGACTTTGCTAGGCTTGCAGCTGCAGAAGAGACCAATGATCCTGACGCACCAGGTATGCTTACAACAGTCGATATTAATTTTTTTTTTATTATCCTGTATACTAAAATGCAGTATTGTACACAGGTCGCGAAGACAAGTTAAACATGGGTACAGTACAATAAGGCAAAATTTTATATATTTTTTGATCTGCTTTTCTTTCAGATTGGTTTTCTTTCAGATTGGCAAAAACTTCTTTATCGGAATTTGATTTCCTAGTTTTTCCAAATTTAACTTGTTATTTAATTTAATTTGTGTTGATTTTGTAACATTAATATAAATATATATCTATGTATTTGCGAATGCATGTGTGAGTTTATGTGTGTGTATGTATGCGTGCATGTTATACATGTGTGAAATATTATATAACATATAACTGCTATTAATAATAACATAAATATATATTAGAGTACAAATTCAACAATACTATACAATTAACAATACTAATTTTGAAATACTCTGTCTCAATATATATTAAATTATTAAATATTTTTATATTCCAAATTTGAACATTCCTAATATTTCATAACAAATTTGAACAAGAAAAGAAATTGACGACAATAAGAATTTTCCAACATTCTTAAACTCTGAAGCTTCGCATGTAACATGTAACGATCGACTGTAACAAGTTCTTCTGAGAGAAGGGTTGAACTAATCTTCTCTGTTGTGGGTTTTCAGATATTTTGGATCCTCCGAAAGGATTCCGTCACATTTACAAAGAACAAGGACCGGAAGCTTTCGCCAAGGCTATCAGACAGCATAAAGGTCTCCTACTGATGGACACTACATTTCGCGATGCTCATCAGTCTCTCCTAGCCACTCGCATACGATCGCACGATCTGCTAGTGATCTCCCCATTCGTCGCGCACAAATTCAACAACCTCTACTCGCTAGAGAACTGGGGTGGCGCGACCTTCGACGTAGCTCTGAGGTTCCTTCACGAGTGTCCTTGGGAACGTTTGGAGGATATGCGCAAAGCCATCCCTAATATTCCATTCCAAATGCTCCTGAGAGGAGCCAACGCAGTCGGGTATACCAACTATCCCGACAACGTAGTCTTCAAGTTTTGCGAACTGGCCGTGAAGACAGGCATGGATATCTTCAGAGTATTCGACTCGCTTAATTACCTGCCAAATCTCATCATCGGTAAGTCAGAAATGTAACTGACAAGAAATCATATTGAGGATGAATATTCTTTCTTGTTTCAACTTAGTATTGTAGGGAATGTAAGAAACTCAACTGTGAAACTCAAATTTCTATTTTCATGAGTAAATGAGCTCGAAGACGTAGAAAACTACCACTTCAAAGAAACTAACTAAGAACTTTCACTAGTCAAGACTATCGCATTTGAAACAGAAAGGATGTTAATCTTGGAAATGTTTCCTTGTAATATTTATCATCAAACTCACACAAACATTTCTTCAGGTATGGAAGCGGCTGGAAAAGCCGGAGGTATCGTCGAGGGGGCGATTTCCTACACAGGCGATGTAAGTGATCCAAGTCGTACCAAGTACGATCTCAAGTATTACGTCGACTTGGCAGACGAGCTGGTCAAAGTGGGCACACACGTCTTAGCAATCAAGGACATGGCTGGATTGCTCAAACCTAGAGCGGCCGAGATACTGATCGATGCAATCAGGCAGAAACATCCGGATGTGCCGCTTCATATACACACACACGACACCGCTGGAGCTGGAGTGGCGTCTATGTTAGCCTGTGCTAAGAGCGGTGCCGATGTTGTGGACGTTGCCGTCGACAGCATGTCTGGCATGACCAGCCAACCTTCCATGGGCGCAGTCGTTGCTTCTCTACAGGGTGATGCTTCCACTTCTCGCAATTATGAATAATCAATTCCTGACACAGTCTCTAACTTCCTATAATTTGAACTTCCTTTAACTGACAACTGAAATTTTACGATTGATGCTATTGTAGGAACGGACATCGATACAAAACTGAATTTGCCTGATATCTCCGAATACTCCGCATACTGGGAACAAACAAGAACGCTTTACGCACCCTTCGAATGCACAACGACAATGAAGTCTGGAAACGCAGACGTCTACCTCAACGAGATTCCCGGTGGTCAATATACTAACTTACAATTCCAAGCTTACTCACTCGGCCTGGGCGAATTCTTCGAGGACGTGAAGAAGGCGTACAGGCAAGCTAATCTCTTGCTCGGCGACATCATCAAAGTCACGCCGAGCTCCAAAGTCGTCGGCGACTTGGCGCAATTTATGGTCCAGAACAAACTGACCGCCGAGGACGTTCTGAAGCGAGCGGAGGAATTGTCATTTCCCAAATCAGTGGTCGAGTTCCTTCAGGGTGCTATCGGTGAACCACATGGAGGATTCCCCGAGCCTCTCAGGTAAGATTTCGCGTATAACACGGATGTCACGCAATGATTACTACTCAGCAATTTCACGTCAAACTTAATTCGCACTTGTAATTTATTCAGGTCAAAAGTCCTCAAGGACATGCCACGCGTACAGGGCAGGCCAGGCGCGAGTCTGGCACCGCTCGACTTTGTCAGCTTGAAAAAGGAACTACAAGAATCGCATCCACACGTCAGCGAGAAAGACGTTATGTCGGCTGCACTTTACCCTAAAGTAACGAAAGACTATTTGAGTTTCAAAGAACAATTTGGCCCGGTGGACAAATTGGAGACCAGAATTTTCCTCACAGGACCCAAAGTAGGTGAGGTATTTGATGTTACAATCGAGAGGGGGAAAACTCTGGGTATTAAAACCCTGGCTGTTGCCGAAGACCTGACGAAAAATGGCGAACGCGAAGTGTTCTTTGAAATGAACGGTCAGCTGAGATCGGTATTCATCAAGGATAAAGAAGCTGTCAAGGTAAACACTGCTTGCAAACTGTTACCTTATATTTTGGTTTGATTAGAACGATGTTTTAATGGAATTACGACCGAAATTTAATTAAAATTAAACAACGTCTGAAATAAAAATGAAATTATAATGAGAGAGAGAGAAAGAGAGAGACAGAAATCACTTCAAAAAATCTAAAATTAAAAGAGAAACTTCCATTTAACTGAATATAAGTCAACTTCAATAGAAAAAAAAAATACATTCAATACAAATTTTCTTATTTCTTATACAGGAACTTCACGTGCATCCCAAAGCGACGAAAGGTGATAAGAATCAATTGGGTGCGCCGATGCCCGGCGAAGTAATCGACATCAGGGTGAAAGTGGGTGATACCGTGGAGAAAGGTGCGCCTTTGGTCGTGCTATCTGCCATGAAAATGGAGATGGTTGTGCAGGCACCTAAAGCAGGAAAAATCAAGAGCCTCGACATCAAGCTAGGCATGAGGCTGGAAGGAGAAGATCTCGTCTTAACATTCGAGTGAGTTCTCTCACTCTGTGATGGGGCTGACCGTCTTTGGAAATTAATTCGCAACTGCATCGAATGCACGAGATATTTATTACAGACATTGTCTACTTCGACAGTGATGCGTGCATGGTATGCGTGTACACGTGAATATGTATATATATGTGATGTACGAAAGACAAGATCTTCAGAAATCTCTACTGCGCAATCGAAATTTTCGATCAAATAGTCAATATGATTAATGTTCTGCAAACGATCGGAACTGCCTAAGGTATCAATTAATACTGAATATGTACAATACAAGAATCTAAGTAAAGAATTCAATGATAAACTACCGCAAACTTTTACACAACAGTCTTCGAAACTTTTATGCAAATAATGATTTGTTTAATGCATTTTTGCAAGAAATTCGCATTGATACGAGAAATACGTTATTCTTTCTGTACTTGTGTACTTTGTGTACTGAAATATATTGTAGTGTGAATAACGTAACATTTTTGTAGAGATATTACAACGAAATGAAATTTATTCGATTTACCTGAATAAAATTAATGCGCTTAGAATATATATTTAGTGAAATCAATTGTAAAAATTTTAGAAAAATTCTCTGTTATTATTTTCGGTGAATCGCCATCAATGTTGATATATGCATGTTATATATAAAATGATTATATCTTAGTATGCTCCACTTTATCTGTTGGTGACGAGCAATGTACAAAAGAACGGAAAAAAGATCAAGCGTCTTCTTAAGCATGATCCTATATTAATTATAGCGTGTATACATAAGCGATTACCCCACTAATTTAATTACGATATCGAGCTAAGCCTTCACGAGCGATTTAGCAAGTAGAAAAGAAATTCAGGGAACAAAGACAAAAGAATATTCCTGAAAAACTTTGCCTTTGTCTTCAAGATCAAGATCAAATGTTATATCTTTCAATCAATTTATTATTTAAAAAAGATTTTATCCTTTATAAAGAAAGAATTACAAACTATTTATATGTTGTTCTCTCTCTCCCTCTCTAAATTTTGCGTAATTATTTTATTAAGTAACTTTTTATTCGCGAATTTATATCAATAAATTATATATATATGTATGAAACGCGATGTGTTGTATATAAAATATATATTTGACAAGAAAAAAATAATTTAACGATATATATATATATATATAAAATGTATATCGATTTATATATATATATATATATATATATATATATATATATATATATATATTGCAATTGTGAATCGCACATAATATATGCATACATAATTTTTTTCCAAAACATTACTACACTATTAGTTATTATAGCATATTACGAATGTGTGCGAGCATACGAATGTAAAATTATTATTTCATACGTATGTCACATTCATATATATTTTTTTATTTTAATCTTATTCTCCTTTATTTTAATCTATAGCAATTTTGTTCTCATTCTTTTACTCGACAATAAATTTTAAAAGATATTTTATATTAAAGATATAAAAAAATACTTTTATGAAAAAATATTTGCATAGGACACTTTTGATTGCTTAATCATGTCTGTAAAATGCTCCGAAAATTCTCCTTTTCCCTTGACAGTCAATTAATTCTCTGCTGACAACATGAAGTTACGGAACATATTCAGCAACGTGTGCCTGGGGTTGGATCCGACCCCAACGTTGTCAGCAGAGGATTAATAGCCATAAAACTAACGTGAGATATGTAATCTTTCTCTTTAAATATTCCTCGTATTTTGTCACGTTTATTTTACGACTATTTATTGACTATCAAGGGAAAAGGATAGTTTTCGGAACATTTTACAGATATGCTCAAGTGACCTGCAGTGCTCTTTTACACAAAAAATAACTTTTTTATTTGAAAATGACATGTAAAAATTATTAGTATGTCATTTCTCGCTTCTAACATCACAATTCAACATAACTGTGGCGAATAATCAGTAAACTTATTCAGTAATTTCCTAATGTCACTAGCATTACGTGTCGTTGCGCATCTTTTCTATCATATATTATATCTGTGCAACGACAATGTGACAATGTAACAACATTGTTGTTAAGTTACAAAATAGACTATTTGGAATATTGACCAAACTTAGGAAAAATTTACGGAAAGAATGACAAATTTTGCCGACAATTTGCGCTGTATACGCTATTTTAATTCTAGAACCCTAAATATGGATAAAATGTATGCAGATAAATTTTTTAAACGTTACCGTTCTCACAAAAATGTTCTATTTTTTTCATTACAACTCTTTTTCAATTTCTCTGAATCGCAAAAATATTAACAAATTCATATTCCTAGATATTTCCTACACCGATGAAAAAAAATTAAATTTAAATTATTTTTTCAGAAATTACAACAAGCAAGTGAAAATGCGCTGGGTGAGATTTATCCATGTTTACTTAATTTGTTTATATTTTTAGGATTTTAAGGTTAAATATTTTCTATTAAAAATGTTAAATTAAAAATTTTTAGCTGAAATATATATTTTTTGGGAAAAACATGCGCTTCTTTCGTAACACCTTAATGTATTGTATCTAAGCCAAGTTCATCTTGTACGTTTTCGTGCTGAAAGCATCATTTTCTATCTTCCTTCGGCATGTAATGAACGATAAAGATAGAATAATACTCTTAGCACAAAAGCGTGAGGAACAAATTTAGCCCTACGGTGTTGATTTCGTAACTGATCTCGGTGACTGCGATGGTTGCTGCAATAGTGAGAAGGTTAATAACCGATCGAGGAAACATAGACAGGACTTTAGGACACATGGTTGATCAGAAAAGTTGTAAAGTGTTCTGTAAAATTCGAAGCTGAGACGAACGGAGTGCATCCATTTATTGTAATAACCCATCATATACTCGAAGGGAGAAGGTCGTAAAGAAGTTTCCATGATTCTCTGCAAATATGCGAAAACGTGGCAATAGACTCGTGATCCTTACGTCCGAGCGTGTACAGGTTTTAAATGACAATGGTAAGAGAATATGTCACCGAACGCCGACAAATATATATGTATATATATATATATATGTATATATATAAAACATTGTATAAGTTAACATTTTCGACTAAACTCTGATCGGTGTATCGAAATCGATACAATATAATTACAATATATCCGTATAATAAATATGAAATATTGATATATATATATATGTGTGTATACGTGTACAATATATATATATATCATAATCGTAATAATTCTGCTCTGATATATTTAGCAATATCTTGTCTGAACGATAAAGAGAATCTTTTTTTCGGTATTTTTGTCTTTTGATAAAGTTCCTCGAGATTATACTCGCTAAGAAAGTCGGTCCCGAATTTCCCACATGTTACGCGTATCCATTAAAACAAACCTGTTTGCCGTCGCGATGACTGCCGTCGCGATGACTGCCGTCGCATGATTTACACTAAAGCGTTTTCTTTTTTTTTTCTTTTTTCAGTGACTAGATACTTCGAAACCGTAGACTCCTGCGCGCTTACAAGTACATAACGCATGTAGTAACATGGTACATGCGAATCGAAAGGTAAACATATTTCGATGAGAAAGGTAGAGTGAACTAGTGAGAGACTTTGGAAGGCAAAGAATGGACGAACTCTTAAAACTATCGACACCAGTGGATTCTTTCTCGCGTGTTAATAGTGTATCATCATTCGCAGCACCCACGCGGCGAGTCGATAGTTCGATATAGTAATCGCTTGTTGATAAACTTCCCTGTTTACAACTCTTTAACAGCCATGATCGAAGTATAGATATCATCAAGAAAACGGGACCTTCGTGCACGCGGTAAATTGTCGTTAAATAATATAAACTGAATATACGCGAGAGACTTGGAGCAAATCCGCGGCGCACAAAGGCGAACTTTCAAGGCTGTCATATCTGATAAAATGTGCATAATAACATAACACGCGACTTAACCCTTTGCGTCCCAAGGTTGCGTCGCGCCGACCACGGTTGGCGAGCATTTTTAAACTTATATCGCACTCATATCCAAGCCGATCGGCTCTATTCTGGTGTACGAAGGCCGCTCCGTAATCTCGCGAACGTTTAAATGTACGCCATTTGTTCGTATCCGACTCCTCGTGTTTGAAACGCAAAGAGTTAGTATCGTCAATCCGCAAACGCAGATATATTAATAATGTGTAGTAAAAAATATTCTAAAAAAATTAAGTTAAATCGTGCACCAGTTTAATTAAGTTTTCAATATTTCCTGTGAATAAAATAAGAGAAAAAGTAACAAGCTTATAATAGTCTTAACGGATAAGAGAACATTGCGTAATCTTGCGTTTGAAGAACAGACAAAGAATTTAAGTTTTCGTTGCAAACTTGTTCCTATCGCCGCTAAAGCAACGTGCGTTCGTTGCTGAGCCCATAGGTTCTTCGATGTTAAACAATTGGTCGCGCGCCGACGTCACGTCTCCATTCGTGTTAATACGCCAATTAGAGAAGTCGCTCAACAAGCGAACATGTATCTCTTAAGAATCGGCTTTTAGTACAAACAGTAGATAAGTATAGCATAGGTATTCAAAATAGAAAGTGTAAAGTATCACAAGAATTACAATAATTGTAATAATTACGTTACGTCGCAAAGATTAACTTCTTGACCTTACTACATCGATCGCACAGTAATTATAAGCGCTTTAATCGCATCCCGCGCATCGAACACGCGCCGATAGACAAAGGGATCAAGTCGGATAACTCTCTGTAAATACATCAGTCTTTGACACAATAATTATAATAACACCACTGACAGAGTAAAGCCGTGAGAAAGATCGCTTTATGGCATGAAGACGAAACAGTACTTATATAAAACACGATTCGAGTTTTGAACGCGATCGAATGTGACATGCTGCGTCGTCGGAAAGGGGTATCCCACCCCGTATAAACTCTGCGAAGGAGAAGGCTTTAGAAGAAGAGAGCAAATGGATTTTGATGGAGTCCATTAATATAGTATAGATAAGCACTTATCGAGATTATTCAGAAAGCAGCTCAGCAGAATCGTCCTTCAAACGGCGCAAGCCATTCTGACCAAAGAGTAAAATGTCATCCTGTATCATGTTTGCAAAAGTGCGTGTTTCTGTTATCGATATATATACGTAAGTTTTGATTAAGAATAAAATATGAAATTTTTAATATTTATATCTGGAACCAACGTTAATATATGAAATATTTGTGATGATATTAATGGTAAACAATCGATGCGCACCATGTCATACATAATGCAAGTAGTACGTAATATTTATACACAAGATGTGACACGACGAAGAAAATAATTACGAGAATATTGAATAAATCATCGCGTAGAGCGTATCTGGAAATTCAAACTCACGATGTGACGAAAGTGTCACGCACGACAATAAGTTTAATGTACAGAAAATGGAAAATCTGCTCGGTTCCAGCTCAACATTGCTCAAATAGAAATACAACTGCAACGACTTTATATTTAAAATTTTGCTAGAGTTAGCAGCGATTAACTAACATTATTATCAAATTTCGATCAATTATTTTAGCCCACAAAGGTGCGTACACCAAACCAATTTCCTTAGGCCATATATTGATTTCCAAGATTTTTAATCGAAGCGTACGAACATCACACTGCAGATTAAGTCGCTGCAGCTTGCGGCTGAGGCGGCGTCGGCGCCTGTGTATTAACATTTGGCCTATAAAATCGGTTGACTAATTGTTTCAAACTCATTACAACACCTAATCCGGTTCCTTGTTCCATGTTGATAAATGAGTCGAGATTATCCTTGCACGCTGAAATATTTGAAGCAAATCCAATGAGTCAGAAATATCATACACAAGTAGACATATAAATGCGCATACGTGATGTTCGAAAAATTATGACACAATCAAAATATGAGTAACTGGAAAAGAAAAATGTTAAAAGATATAAATCATTTTTACATAAAAGCAAGTGTCTGACAATTTCGTTATGCAGTCACGAGATAGAATTCATCAAACTGAACATAAAATTCCTCTACCATTTCGCAAATAACTACGCAGATGTTTAGTTATTAATTAAAGAAAATTAGTATATGATTGTCCGCAATAATGAACTAATTTTCTTTAATTAATAATTAAATATCTACATAGTTATTTGCGAATTTTATGTTTAGTTTAATGAATTTTACACCGCGGCTGCATAACGAATCATCGGATATTCTATACATGTAAAACCAATAACGACTAGTCAACGTATCAGCTGAAAAAATCTTATAACGCGACAACATATAAAAACATGAGCTGACAGTTCTGCAGACTTATACAATTCTTAATCTCAGTTTGCCAAGCCAATTTAATTAATCTAAACTGACCGGATTAATTATACCAAGAGAAATCAGGCAACATCTTCCCACTTCGTCAATTTCTTTGTCCTAGAAGACAATTATTTAATTTGGCTAGTTGCAACCGAAATAACTAATCCAATCTAACTGCAAAATTAAGTGTAAAATTAACTGTCGACTCGATTGTACAACATAATTTTACAACCAACACGTATATATCAATTCTATTGGTCAATATACTTGGCGTCGAGATCGGCGGATAATCCGGCGGTGTTTTTATCCATGTGCCATCCTCGCGTTTCATGTGATGTCGATTTGACGCGAATTGTTGCAGGTATACGCTGGCAGGCACCAGGCGGAACCTTCTATGATACTCGGGTCGCAACGCCTCGTCGGACCTGAAGGTTTCGGTAGCGTATTTCCAGAAGTGCGTGGGAAACGGCAGGGAACTCTCTAAGTCGTACACCACCGCCCTTTCGTCGGGCGCGTAGATGAGAATGGCATGGTAGTCCTGCAGAAGGAAAGCAACGGTCTCGTGAAACGTTAAAACAGGCAGAGAGAGAAAGAGAGAGACGCTGTGATTCCTTAGTTATTGTCCTCCTACAGTACTGACCCATACGACCAATTTATCCTCATCCTTTCCAGCCCGCTGACGCCACAGAGGAACGCTCCGTCGTGGATTACTTATGAAAGCAACATGACAATGTTGCAGTTCAGACGGGTGTCTGGTCGCTACATCTTGACAGAGCTTCCATACATTTTCCTCGCTGAAATTGAGGATATCGCCGTTTACCCTCAACCAATCTGACGCGGGATATGATTTATGAGCAAATAATCGTCACAACTGGTCACACTGGATGAAGCAAAGAAATATAAGGAAATATAAGGATAGTACAAAGCAAAATAAAAAGTCACAAAATAGTACGCATATTAGAATGTATTTTATAATTAATTATTAAACTTTCACACACAGATAATACACGTATATATACACCATGTAACTACGTTACTACATTTGCACATCTCGACGTCGCTTTTAACAACAATCATTCAATAGCAACCCCTTAAAGCAGATATTCTCGTTTACACGATACCATTTTAATTTATTTTCATAATGTTTACTGATGCTGTAACTACCGAATAAAATAAATAAAATGTGACGTTGATGTCAACATGAAATAAGTAAAGCAAGTATCTGAAATGACTTTCTTTTGTTTCTTTAACTAATTTAATGGATTAGTTTTTGTATTTTCCATTTTATTTGTTTTCTTTAAATTTATTTTTGTATATATTGCTAAATGGACTTGATTTAAAAGATTGGTTGTAACATCAGGAATTAATGAACTAGTTTTATGCTATCGTGCAAATGTAGTTACTACAATTGTAATTTTCACAATTACAAATTAAATATAAAACATAATATTGATAGCAAATAAATTATAACAATTAGTAAAAACAGTAAATCCTTAAAAAACACATATACGAGACAAATATGAAAAAAGTATAAAATAAAATTTGTGTAAAACAAATATCTTAATAAAAAGTAATAATTCTAAGAGGGTTTAAGAAAAACTTAAGTGTCATCCGCATCCTGTAAATGGATATTTTAATACATTTTTTCAGCATTAGATATTTAATTGAAAATATTAACCATGTGTAAGTAAAGTAAATAAATTGAGACCTACAAACACACACTACAGAAAAACATATTGAATGCAACTTTGCGACTAATATATTGATTTGACCTAAAAAGAAAAACCAACAGTTAAATAAATGATATACATTGTCTCCGTTTTGAAAGGAAAAAAATGTGCTGCGTATATCAGTACCCAGCAAACGTTATACTGAAAACGACACAATAACAAACACTAGCGACAGCATACACAATAGAGCTGAATTCATTAATCTGCTTCTAAAAAGCGCTCTGGGAATTACAAGGATCGCCAGGAATATTGGATAAGAGCAGCAGCGCGGGTTACTAGATCGGGAAGCTGTGATTAGCGCAATAAAAATCCAAGAAATATTAATCCAGATTAGTTTGCCAAGCGGGGGCAACGTGTCCTTTGTAATTATAAGAAAGAGGAAACCAATGTGAACGCAGTGTTCGTGCAAGTTGTTCGACACGAGAACCGTTTCGCGTGCCGCGTCGTGTCGTGCACATTATCTATCGCATGCATTATTAATTGCAACACAAGCGATTCATATATTCGCGCCACTTAACCGGCACGTAACCGCCGATAAACGAGACCAAACGGTACCGGCGACAGGTATGACAATCCCCTTTTGCCGAGAGAACACCTATTCAAACCGAAAGTAACAAGACAATCGAACGTGCACACAAAATACACAACATTCGTGTGTCACATCGTAGATGCTACGAGATCGATCGATCTCCGAAATGGTTCTGAAATACATTCATCTACTACAAAAGTGCCGGTACCAAACTAGAGCCCCATTAATAATAAGGCGATTTTTGGTGATTGTTTGGTATATGTACCTGGCTGTCATTGGCAAATTTACATCAAACATTTAACATATATACTAAATATCTGTACAGTATAAATGTTCAAAATATAATTCTAGAGACGTCGCAGAGATATCTGGATATCTCTGGAAGATATCTTGGATATTTGTGTTATATGAATATTTAATACTTATATAAAATGTTTGATGTAAACTTGCCCAAAAACAACCTGGTACATGTACCAAACGATCGCCAAACGATCGCCAAAAATCGTCTATAGTCACTACTTGGAACTTGCCTCAGGTGCGATATTCAGATTTGAATTTTGAGTTAGATGGGAATCTTTCAGCTGAATCGCAATTGCAAATGTGACGTCGCATATATCGTGTGATTCAAGTAAAAATACCAGTCTGACTGTAAATCCGCATCTGAGTATCTCACGTGGGACAAGTTTCGAGCAATGACGGTCGATTTAAGCATCTCGCTTTAGAATCGCCCGTTCAAATCGCGCGGCGACGAAAAATCGCCGAAAGATCACGCGCATACCGTGAAGATGGCCACGCGCTCGCTCGACCATCCGCACCGCCGCAACGTATCGATCGGAGCCGCGGTGCATGCCGCAATACGGCGCGTTTATTTGCCCGAGAATCGATCGCCGCCTCAGGGCACGCCACGGCGTAACGCGGGTCGTGCCGGCGTGAAATAATGGCACTCACCAGTAGCAGCTGGTATGCACGCAGTCGGCCGCCTTCGTGAACAGCGGTACCAAGGGTTTCGCGTTCCCAGTCACGCGAGACTCCACGGCCATCCTACGTTTGCGGACGCTCTCGCCGTACGCGGGGACAACGACACGACGCCGAGATACGCCAGCCGAACGCACCGCGAATACAATACAACGCGCGCGCGCGCTCTAACACTGCAGCGCTTAGACGAATCGCGCGCACTCCGCGAGTTTCATAATAAACAAATGTCCGCCGCGACGATCGTGTCTCTCTCTCTCTCTCTTTCTCTCTCGCGAGCTCCCTCAACCACGAGCTGCACCACTGACTACTCGGAACATTATTCGACCACTGTCTGCCTCGACGCTTCACCAAGCCTTCCTATACGTGATTCGCATCAACAGCCGTTTGCGACTGCGCAAACGCACGCGAGCGTGCCTATATAGAGTGCGCCAACAGCAGACACGTGAGGCGGTAGTATCGCTTTTTATGAGATGTTATGAGATGTATCCAGTGGTCTGTTCTTTTTAGCTGCACTGCTGAACTGGTGCAATAAGTGTATCATTTGAAGCAGCAACTGAGAGAGAGCGATACTGCACTTGCATCTGAAAAAGCTCTGTGTAATGAATTTCGCAAGAAGCTTCATCAGATATTGAGGCAAGTAACAAACAATATAATTGTAAATATTTCCTACTTATAAAACATTTTTTATTATTACAGTGAGAGACGAACCTGTTCAAAGTGTGGTGCGTCTCAATAATAATTTTCTAGATTAAGTCCTCATCAGATCTGATAAAAGGTGGAATTATGTATAATTTACAACATTTAAAAGCAATTTACATTCTAAAAAATACTATATAGAAGATAGTTTTTAAAAAGTCTGTTATATGGGATATTCTAAAAAAGTGATATTTTATAGATAGATCATATTGATCACGTTAGCAAAAATTTTTACAGTAAGACACAGTAAGCCATGTCTTGATTGGCTGTTGCGCGAATTTCCGTCGCGTGGTAAGCGTTGCCGCGTCCTGTGGGCAGGAGCCGTTAGAAAATCTGTCGACGATGTCCAGCGACATGTCATGTTCCGCGGCCTCATGCGCATGCTGCGTGGCCACATACGCATGCTCTGTAGCGGTTTATACGAAATTTGAAAAATATTATAAGGAACAAATGAAGCGTAACAATGTGTTTTACATTGCAACATCGCAGATTGCTTGTAAAAGATGACGGGATTGATAGAGCTTGACCGTCTAACTGCGAGCAAAAAAAAGCTGCTAGATTTTTTAATCCGGCATGGTGTGTTAGCACCCACTATTAAGCAATTATGGAAATATTATTGAAATCAATAAAGAGACATTAATATGCCGATGTAGGAAACGATATAATGTAAAAAATGTACATAAGAAACGTGTGTCGAAGCAGTAAGCTAAGTGCAAAAGCAGGTACTTGGTTCGGGAAAAGTCATCTTAACGTGGAAACAATTTGCAACATTATTGCATGTTTCTTATTGTTGAGACATTCATGTCAAGATGACACAATGGATGAAACTGGCGTAGTATCGGCCACGATTGTGGACTGGTTCAATTTTTGCCGAGAGGTAAGCATATTTTAAGACATCTTCATATATATACTATATATCCTAAAAAATATTTAATATTGTACAAAATATTAATATTATTTCTTATTACAGATCTGTGTTCTGGGCTGAAAAACAGAGTGAAAAGCGTGGTCTAGGACACAGTTGAAATCGATGAAGCAAAAATTGGCAAAAGGAAATGCAATCGTGGTCAATTAATAACAGGTCATTGGATATTTGAAGGATACGAAGAAGTTTTTTGTCGTTCCGGTTCAGGATCGGACGGAGAAGACACTCCTGGCGTGCATAAAGAAGTGGATATTGCCAGGAACCACCATTGTGTCAGATTGTTGGAAGTCTTATGCTTGAGCAATGAAGGCATCTGACAGTAAACCACTCCTACAACTTCGTCGATCCTGACAGTGGTGAGAAATGTTTTAACTTATTAATATTTATTACAATATTCGGCTAAACCCTTCAGTTATTCAGAGTCATTACCTTTACAATATATGTCAAGGTCATGGTCATCCGATATCATTAATATGAAGGTTTACCGAATATAAAAAAATTGCAAGTTAATATATAGTATATTATTTTGCCATTATCAATTGTATTTTTATAGTTTTTTTGTGCGTTGTCTTAAAAAGTTAAATTTTCAGGCGCGCATATACAACATATAGAGCGTGTTTGGAGAGAAATTCGCGGAAATATTCCAAGATACGGAACCCGAGAGAATCACGTTCTTTCTTGGATATTTGTGCGAATTTCTTTTCAAACGCGTCTATAGCCGTTCGGAACGAATAAAAACCTTCTTCGATATCATCGCGCAAATGTATCATCCAGTTCAGAGGACCAGCCAGAAACATCTACTTTAGAGGATCAGCCAGAACCAAGTACCAGCAATGAATAGACACGTTTCATATGTACATTTTTTCACACAGTACCAATTCCTGCATCGTTACATTAATGTTTCTCTATTTATTTCAATATTATTTCCACAATTGTTACATTTGATAATGGGTGCCAACACATCATGTTAAATTAAAAACATGTACCACTTTGTGCAATATTTTTTAAATTTATTATAATAAAATTTATTTATATTTTATTTGAATTCATTTATTTGTTACAAAGCATACCTCTGTAAAATTCTTTTTCAGGACTTTAATAAAAAAAGGTGCCTATTCCTAACTGTATGACGGGTGGGCGAAGTCTTCCAGTCACACAGCTAGAGATAGATGGTATGACAGATTTTCTAACCTAACGCGCCCTCAACTTTGTCTATTAATAGGTCCGTTCTTTTCCTCTGCACTGCTGCATTGGTGCAACAAGTTAGAGTGACACAAATATATATTTGTTTCACTTTAACTTATGACACCAGTGCAGAAATACAGAGCAAAAGAACAGACCTCTAATCTCACTTCGCATACATACGCTGATAACGCGTAATGATGACGCATATTTCAAAGTCGCAATAAGTTCTACTGTGCCTGCAAATTAGTTTTAAAAAATACAGTTGTTCCGATATATATTTTTAACCTATATTTATACGCAGAATAATAATATTAAAACAATGACTATGAATGCTGCGAGAGCTGTACTTAACCAAGGAAAAACTGCGTTACTCGTATGTGATATTCAGGAAGGATTTGCTAAGGCTATGAAAGGCTTTGATCTGTTTGTTCAAAATTCATCCAGACTGGTAAACATGTGAAATATTTTATATATTATAGACATAAATTATGTAATTATCTATTTATCAGAAAAATAATTCAACAATATAACATATGTATAAGTTATAAGTTTAGGTTATTTTTTTATGATTAGATATATATATATATATATATATATATATATATATATATATATATATATGTATATATATATATTACTTTATTTTCAAATTAATATTAAAAGTACTATTACAGGCCATTATTAATCATTATATAAAACATATATATATATATATATATATATATATATATATATATGTGTGTGTGTGTGTGTGTGTGTATAGGTCAGTGCTTTAAAAATCCTGAATGTGCCTATGATAGTTTCTGAACAGTATCCAAAGGCTCTAGGAAAAACTGTTCCTGAAATTGATATTTCTGGTGCCAAAGTTTTTGCTAAGACCCAATTTAATATGTGCATACCTGAAGTAAGTACATATACATTTTGCATAATAAATAAGTAAATAATATGTCAGTGCTAGACACAAGTATATATTTATCTTACTTTTCTTTAGTTGCGTAAAGAACTTTCAACAATTTGTTCTGGCAAAAAACCTGAATCTATCATACTAATAGGCCTTGAAGCACACATATGTATAGAAAACTCAGCTATTGACTTAAGAATGAATGGTTATGAAGTTCATCTTGTCGCAAACTGTTGTTATTCTCGTACTCAAGAAGATCGACTACTTGCTCTTCAGGTAACTATATATATATATAATCTCTTTTTAAAACATATACATATAGACAAACTCTTAACAAAATATTGTTTTTTTGCAGAGAATGCGAGATATAGGGTGTCAAATAACCACTTCCGAAAATGTTTTATACAAATTGATGAAAGATTCAAATCACAAGGAATTTAAGAATGTACTCTCTTTTGTTAAAACACCAATTGCATACACAGGACTTGTTCCTGTTGCCAAAATATAAATATTCCTGAAAATGAAAATGTTTCTTGTTGCAATGTTATACTTTATTGAATCAATAATTCCTTTGATAAAGTATATTTGTTTATAATAGTTGGTTTTAAATAGGTTTAAAAGATAGTAGAGAATATTTTGTAAAAATATACACTTTATTTTCACACTCCAGAATACAAATGTACGTCGTAAAAATTATTTTTTATGATTAACACTTAGATATATTGTAAAAATAATGTAAAAATGGCAGTATGTGTAAACTAAAAAAAAATATAATAAACCCTGAAAGTTTCTTTAGATCAATAAAGCATATTAAATTGAATTACTTCCAATCTTTCAGTTTGTGCCTGTTGAACCAAATCCTCCTGCACCTCTATTTGTATCACTTAGGAACTTTACTTCTTCTATCTTTGGATATATAATTCTTTCACAAATTAATTGAGCTATACGATCACCAGGTGTAACTTGAAAATTCTCATTGCTGTGATTAAACAACACTATACCCAAATTACCTCTGTTAAAAGAAAAATAAATTAGCTCCTAATATATCCGTAATCAACTTTTAAAATATGTAGTAATTTGATGTACCTGTAATCTGCGTCTATAACACCTGCACCTACATCTATATGATTTTTCCATGCTAATCCAGATCGTGGTGCAACTCTGCCATATGTGCCAGGAGGAACTTCTATTTGTAAATCAGTTTTAACTAATTCTTTTCCACGTGCTGGTATGACGTATTCGTAAGCACTGCAATTATATAAGAAAAAAATTATGAATCTGTCATAAAATCGTTTTCATTATATTTCAAGAATTATTGAGAAAGTAATTTCACAATATCCAGTAAAGAGAGAGAGAGAGAGAGATATTAGTATTAAACATTATAATTCATAATTTTGCTTTACACACTATTTCACTGTTAAGACAACTAGATTCTTAACTATATTGACTCATTAATTCAAGTACCACAGATAGTTCAACATTCTATAGTTAAACAAAAAACTGCACACAAGTACCTTTATCTAATTAAATTGTTTATTATGTATTATGCGAGAAATATTCAATATTCTTGGCGATCAATAGCGTTAAATATCATTCTGAAACAATATACCTTCGCAAGTCATATCCCGCCGCATATTCTGATCCCTTCGTTGGCGTAAATGCTTTCTCCGACAATTTTGCGAATCTCAATACAACCTCGTTCTCTCCTGACATGATAAATTTATTAGGATAAACGTCGTAAATAAGGACAAACGTCGCGTGCTTATTTCGTGTCACGAACCCCACACTTCACCACTTTTGCCGCGCTTTTCTGCTGGTTCGTCAGTACTACCAAAACAAGTAACGGCAAGTGAAAGTTGCGATTCTATTTGTAATTCGTTCTATTATCATACATCGTATCAACGAATCGACTTAAAAGTGATTTTGAAAATAGTATGCATACGTTAGTATTTCAACAGCATCATATTGCGAATTATATATCATATTGCGATCTATATAACATCTATATATATTTGTAATAATGAATAACACAATTTCACTTCATTGATTAAGCCGCGAAATTTAAACATGCGTTCCGTTTTATCATGAGCACAAGGTAAAGTGAATTATATCTAACAAAATTCTAATAAAAATGAGTTTTCCTCCATTAGGCCATTTTGTGTCTAACCATGCAAATAATAGTAATACCAGTACGACTACGAAATAACAATTCCGTTATCACAACGTCGTTGATATCAATAACATCTTACTGACCTCTCATGCGACGGCATAAAGCTCGCCATACACAACTTGCCATTGCTCGCGTATAAAATAGCACAGAAGTGAAACGCGTCAGCACATCTGATATATTCAGAGAAAAACTGCTTTCCCGCATGCGAAGGTGCATGCATGAGCTTGACCGACTGCGCAACGCGCGTGCATGATTTGCGCGCGACTTTTGAGATCACATAAGATCAATATTTTATACATTACAGCAATTAACACGTGCATAATTCAGCATGTTCTCTGATTGCTGCACGCCGACAGCGATCGATAAATAATAGCTCGCCTAAATAAACACACGGTGAACGATTGTCGGGAAACTTGACATGAATAAGTCAATGTTGATACACAACCCTTATAGAAATATCATACTAAGAATCATTGATAATTACTTATTATCCAGTATTTTTAATACTGAAAATAAGTAATTATCAATGATTCTTAGTATGATATTTCTATAAGGGAAGTATAATAGATTTAGAAGAGAATTAAGATTAAATGAGAATTTCAAATTGTATGCACACAATTTTACACATCGTTGACGGCAGATCTTGTGTCGTCGATTCGATATCTTCTAAATCTTTTCGAGCATTATCCTCGTCTCGCCCCTGGACCCCCGAGTTACTTTATTTTTAGAGCAAGCCAATGCTTCCCTTCCCTTTTTTTTTTTTACCGAAGTATTCACAGCCGATATACTGCTGCCCATCGTATCGGTAAATGGATTATACGCGTATATCCCGCCCATCGCGTTATTAATCGAACCGTTTATGCTGTGCATTAATTATGTATAGCACCACTTTCGCTGTATGTGGCGGCACAAAGAGTTTTCGCCTCGTGATGCAACTCCGTGATGTTACCCTGAGTAAATCGTTGCCGTAAAGTTCATTCGATACGAACTAATCAACAACTGATATTGCAACAAGGTCGACAGACGTTTTTTTATGGATAAACGGTAAAACCAGTCTGGAAATAAGCGGATAATGTGCGTAATGCACGTAAATGTAAACGTATTAACGGGTCGTACCATATTACCGACTAGGTCCATGGTCATGTCTCGTCATACGGAAGTCGTCGGGCATACACCCGACTGATCATCGCAAAAGAGTCTCGGGTCGATGGAGACCCTCGAACTTAACCTTACGTTTTTAATAAAGCGCGATGCGTCGCGCTTCGATAAAGAAAATATGCGTGACAGCGTGGAATCTGCTTCAGCCGACTTCATCTATACGCTGAAAAGGTCGGGCCGTTTAGGTAAGGTCAATTCACATATCTGGATTTTATTTAATACGATATCCTTCTAGGGAGGTATGAAGAGAATATTTAAGGAAAATTATTAATTTAGCAAATAAAAGATTTTGGATAAAAAATGACAAAAGAATGTTGTGTAAATGTAAATACAAAATTCCTTTTTGCACTCTCTTCTTTCCTTTTATCAATATTAAACATTATCAAATATTAGATAAAACTATATATAGGCCGAAACGTTCTTCCAAGAATAACAGTAACATTAACTTAGGCTGCGTTCCAAAATTCACTGCCGGTGCTGAAATTCTATAGTATACGTAATATGAACTATAGATTTTCAGTGGCAATGAATTTCAGAACGCAACCTTAATTTGAGGATAATATTTGACGAATATATGCGATATGCGATATGAGAATTGAATATTTTAAAATTCATGTATCACATGTTACCATCTTTTCGCTGTCAAGCCAAGACAGGAAACAATAATAGAAGATTAAAGAAACCAAAAAAAGAAACGGAAATTAGCTTAAAGAAATCTGAAAACATTATTGATATCTGCTATGACATGAATTAGATCCTATTAGTAATTATGTTTTCAATGAACTCGATTCTATGTACACTTTGAATGCTTTCCCGCAAAAATTTCATTGGCTATGGCCGGTATTAATAGTCCGATCTTATATTTAAAATCATCTTAAGTACTGTTTTAAGATGTCATGAACCAATCCACAGAGCCGTATTCGCATCTTAAGATTTACTTAAGACGGTCTTGAAATAAGATTCGACTGTGAATACCGCCCTATGAGTCGGTTGTTTTAATTTCTTGTTAGTTAACTGATAGTTAAATCATATGTCTATTTTTGTCTAAATTGAAGAAAAAACAAAGATAGACATATGATTTAACTTTCAGTTAACTTACCAAGAAGTTTGAACATTCGATACTGGGTGTATTCCAAAATTCAACTTTGGTTACCATAGTTGTATAGTTTATTTATGTATACTATAGAAAATGATAACCAAGGGGGTGCTATTTCAAATGTTTTTCAGATTCTCTACCCGGATGCACTCTAAAGGCCCTCACACATGAAATGACACAACTGCATGTGCATAGCATAAGACTGTGTGGACCAATGAGCATCGAGTATTTAGCCGCCATATTGATGTTTGATGCTCAATACTCGATGTTCATTGGTCCATACAGTCTTATACTATGCACATGCAGTTGTCATTTCATGTGTGAGGGCCTTTATACTAGAAGTACTATAATATACGTAACATATACTATAGTGTTTCTAACAATAGAGTGTACCTGGATGAGGAATCTCCGTATAAACCGTATAAAGGAAGCGCCGTATAAACCAATCATAATACTTCTTTACGAGTGAGTCCCAGATGCGCATATTGGCAAACGGACACATCCAATCATATGTCATTGTTTATAGAGTCTCTAGAATATCTCTAGGCATATGGCGTTGTGGTTGGCTGTGTCCATTTGTCAATGTGCGCATCTGGGACGTTCCCTTTCTTTACACGCTTAAAAACATTTGGAGCTTCAAGTGGATTCTACTTAATGGATGTATTCAGTACTATACCATTCACCGAACTTTTGTATCTGATTGGTATATTCTTTTAGATCTAAAAAAATACACCAATTAAATGCAAGAATTTAATAAGCACTTGTAGTGAATAGTATAGTACTGAATGCATATCTGAAAATAACAGATTGTGATGTCTCCAAAAGTGGTCTGTTCTTTTCAGCTGCATTGCTGAACTGGTGCAATAAGTTAAAGTGAGAAAAAATATACTTGTCTCACTTTAACTTATTGCACCAGTTCAGCAGTATAGCTAAAAAGAACAGACCAAAGAATAGACGTCTTCATTCTGTGAATTATTTGCAAACTTTCAATATGTCAAGTAAACGTAAGGAATTTTTTTAATTTACGTAACTGCATAATATGTATGAAGTATTTTCATAAAAACAACTATTGTGATATACGTTATGGATTGTGTTAAAATGATAAAAATGCATTAAGCGGCATTGAATACTCTATATTATGTCTATTAATAATTGAGGTTAGTGTGCAACAAGTTGGTTGACATTCATTGGAATGAGAATAAATAGTGTGAAATTTAATTATAATTACTGTACAAAAAGTATTTTCTGTATGAATATATTGTTATTTATTAACGTATAATGAATGAATTTTTAATTTTAAATGGTATTTAGATGCACCTGATATATATAAATTTATTATTTGTATTTACCAAACTTTGTAATACATTTCAATATAACATCTTACTGTAATTGCAATTTTGTATATAAAAAGTTTGATTTTTAAATACTATTTATTTAATAAATATAGATAACCTTTAATTTATAGTTCCATTTTAAGTATGCATGGTTTTGTTTAGTTTTTTGGAGTTAAAATGTCCAGTTCAGAAACTGGTGTGGGATGTATTAGTGAGGTAACACTTGCAATTAGTAAAGCAAGAAGTTCCCAGGCAGGTACTGTAAGAGTCCTTGACAGCCCAGACTCAGATGGATCTAGCCATTCAAATTCATTTACTGTGCAACAGTTTGATTATCCTAATGCTTATCCTAATGACAACACCAGCTCAAGTATTCTGCAATCACCTCTCACTAATGAAGATTTGAGAATACCTATTGTTGGCTATGAAATTATGGAGGAAAGAGCTAGATTTACGGTTTGTTAATTTTATATATTACTGATTCTATATGGTCTTGTTATTATATCAGATTATAATTATATTGATATATTGATATTTATGATTATTATTTATAGTAATTTTTAAACTTTTCTGTTGGAATTATTATTAAAAAAAAAAATATATATATATGTATAGTAATACTATTCATAAAAAGTATAAAATTGCTATCTCTATTAATTTATTATAATTTAAAGTATTTTAAAAGAAAATGTTTCTATATAATTCTTGCTTGATATACAGGTTTACAAACTTCGAGTTGAATTGAAGAATGGTGATTGTTGGTTTGTGTTCAGGAGATACACAGACTTTGTTCGACTACTAGCTCAATTAAGAAGGCAGAAAATTCCTATTGCTCATTTGTCATTACCAAGAAAAAAGTGGTTTGGCGACAATTTTGCACCAAGTTTTTTAGAAGAAAGAATACATGGGCTTCAAACATTTGTTAATGGTATATTAAGTAGTCCAGTTCTCATAGGTGTTTCATATGTAAGGGAATTTTTTTGTTTGGATGAACCTCCTATACTATCTGATACAGCAGAAGAATCCAGAGTAAGTTTCATATGTCTTCAAATAATGTTTATGCATTACTGCATATGTTTCATATTATTTAATGGATGTTTAACTTTTTTAGGCAATATTTGAAGCATTAGAAGATACAGTGTATCATTTGAGGCAGCAACTGAGAGAGAGCGATACTGCACTTGCATCTGAAAAAGCTCTGTGTAATGAATTTCGCAAGAAGCTTCATCAGATATTGAGGCAAGTAACAAACAATATAATTGTAAATATTTCCTACTTATAAAACATTTTTTATTATTACAGTGAGAGACGAACCTGTTCAAAGTGTGGTACGTCTCAATAATAATTTTCTAGATTAAGTCCTCATCAGATCTGATAAAAGGTGGAATTATGTATAATTTACAACATTTAAAAGCAATTTACATTCTAAAAAATACTATATAGAAGATAGTTTTTAAAAAGTCTGTTATATGGGATATTCTAAAAAAGTGATATTTTATAGATAGATCATATTGATCACGTTAGCAAAAATTTTTACAGTAAGATACAGTAAGCCATGTTAAAATTTTTGTATTCAGGAGTTTTAACTTTTGACTAACATCTAGCAACAATTTTTAATACTTTACACTCAGAATATTATAAATAACATCTAAATTTATGTGCCTTGTATAAACTTTTTGCTATACATAATATTTATAATTTACATGATGAAAATGCTCTTATATTAAAGAAAGTAGCATTAATTTAATTAGTGTAAATTAATTAGTATAAACTTTTATATGAAATGATATTTTTATTATGTAAAATCGATATTTATAATTGAAATGAGAGAATTATATGAGAGAATTCACTGTTAAAGTTATAAAAAATATAAATATTAATTGCAACATATTTATTATTAACGTTATTGAAAGAAATAGAATGAAAAAATCATATTTGCTATACATAATATTTATAATTTACATGATGAAAGTGCTCTTATATTAACCCTTTGGGGACGAGTGTCGGCATATAGCCGCCCAAGCCGTTTTACCGTTCCGAACGCGTGTCGACATATAGCCGCTCAAATTAGTTCGTAGCTGCAAGGCTCGCGACGTCTGTCGTTCTGAGCGATAAGATACGCATAGGTATAGTAAAAGAGTCACGTTTTCATTCAAAGACATTAGGGGCCATTAGCGATGAAGTCTTATCTTCCTTATAGCCCGTCGAGCGGCTCCGTCCCCAAAGGGTTAAAGAAAGTAGCATTAATTTAATTAGTGTAAATTAATTAGTATAAACTTTTATATGAAATGATATTTTTATTATGTAAAATCGATATTTATAATTGAAATGAGAGAATTATATGAGAGAATTCACTGTTAAAGTTATAAAAAATATAAATATTAATTGCAACATATTTATTATTAACGTTATTGAAAGAAATAGAATGAAAAAATCATATTTGCTATACATAATATTTATAATTTACATGATGAAAGTGCTCTTATATTAACCCTTTGGGGACGAGTGTCGGCATATAGCCGCCCAAGCCGTTTTACCGTTCCGAACGCGTGTCGACATATAGCCGCTCAAATTAGTTCGTAGCTGCAAGGCTCGCGACGTCTGTCGTTCTGAGCGATAAGATACGCATAGGTATAGTAAAAGAGTCACGTTTTCATTCAAAGACATTAGGGGCCATTAGCGATGAAGTCTTATCTTCCTTATAGCCCGTCGAGCGGCTCCGTCCCCAAAGGGTTAAAGAAAGTAGCATTAATTTAATTAGTGTAAATTAATTAGTATAAACTTTTATATGAAATGATATTTTTATTATGTAAAATCGATATTTATAATTGAAATGAGAGAATTATATGAGAGAATTCACTGTTAAAGTTATAAAAAATATAAATATTAATTGCAACATATTTATTATTAACGTTATTGAAAGAAATAGAATGAAAAAATCATATAGATCGTATAGATTTTACTTTCCATAAGCTATTTGCTATTTTAAATACATAAATATTGTTAGATATAATAAATGTGTACGATACTGTATATATAAAATATATATTTTACAATTTATTATATTATAATTAACATATTCTGTGGCCGGCATTTATTATATCTACTTTTTCATAAAGTAATATTGATTTTATAAAATATTACAAGTATACAAAATGTTATTTTTCCTAAGCATTTACATCTTGTATGAAAACATGATATTAGTTATATTAACATACTCTTTGTATAAAATACTTCAATCACATTCTTAAGATATGTAAGCATGTAAATATCCTTATATAGTTTAAGGCACATTGTTAATTCAATTCATATACACTGCACAAAAACTGGTTCATTAAACTATTTTAGGTAATAAAAGAGATAATTATGGAACATAGTGTCATTTTTTTACGAATGACGAAATTCATATCTAACTCAAAAAGAGTAGATATCTTCAAATGTTACGTGAGCAAACATGATTTATTTATGTACACCAGTTGTGGAATAGGTCAGTCTCCTTTGTCTGGGGCGACGACTAAGCATAATGCTTGCACGAAATATGTTAGTTTAGCTGAAAAAGATACATAGATGTTAATATTTTGCTTGCAGTAAATAATTTTCTGACAATAACGTATAAATCCTCTTATCTTTATGTATAACTACACCCACCTGCTAAAATACTTCTTGTCTTCTTGTATATATAAATATGATAAACGACGATACCGCCTAGAATGAATAAGAGCGCGAAGAGATACTTGGCCGATGGTTCGTAGACTATCGGTAACACTGCGAGAAAGATGGAAATACCTAGCACCAGCCAAGGTATCACGATAGGCACGGAGTACGGTCTGTGGGCGTCAGGTTTCGTCCGTCGCATGATTATTAGCGAAACCATCGCTAACCCGTAGAAAACCCATGTGAGGAAACTGGCGAACTCGATGAGGGCGATTATGTTGCCTACCAGCAGACACACGAACGAGAGCACGCCCTGAAAGGCCACCGCCGCGGCCGGTGTCATCTTCTCGATGTGCACGTAACTGAAAACACGCGGCACATGGCCTTCTCTGCCCGCGACGTAACAGAGCCTAGACACGCCGAATTGCACGCTAAGAGCGCAACCAAAGGTCGACAGCGCTACGCCAAGCGGTATCAGAAAGCCCATCCAAAGTGGTAGGACCCGATTCGCCCATAAAACAGCTACCGCCGGTGCGCTCATCATCTCCGGCATGGTTAACACCGCCATGTACATCAAGTTCATCGACACGTATAGAACGGTGATAGTAGGCACCGCAATGAGTATGCTCCTACGAATGTTGATCTCGGGTTTCTGGATCTCTTCTGTGACGATCGAGGCTGAACTCCATCCGTCGTACGCCCAGAGACCGCTGTAGAAAGCCAGTGCCACGTCGCCGACCGACGTGGTAGTACCGCGGAAGGGTTCCTCGAGTAGCTGCGTGCGACCTGTACTCAACCACCATATCCCACCGACTATTACCACTATACAGGCAAACACTTTGCATACGGTAAACACGTTTTGCACCTTCACGTAGAGCTTCACGCTAGTGAGATTGATGTACGTGATCACAGACAATGCCATAATTGCTATGAGCTTTTTCAGCGTTGCCATGGATTCGGCGGGTAGATCACCGAGCAATCCAGAGAATGGCTGTACGCTGTATTCCGCGAATGTCAATATGATCACCGCCACCTCCGCCGGTCGCAGCAGCATCACGTAGATCCAGGAGCAGGTGAACGCCGGTATCTGACCAGCATAAGCGTGCAAGGGCCCGAAAGCCTCTATGAAGTACGCGTATTCGGCGCCGGAACGCGGCACCACGGTACTCAGCTCGGCAAAGGCCAACGCGCCGAACAGAGACAGCACGCCGCAGCTGATCCATACGATCAGACAAAATCCCACGGAACCGGAGCGCTCAAGGGCGCTTGTTGGCGACACGAAGATCCCAGAACCTGTACAACAGAGATAACAAAGTTAGAGTTTGATAACAAAGATAACAAAGATATAGCCGTATGCAAAATTAATAGTATTCGGGAGTCAGTATAACTCGGGTACTACCCGAGTACTCCACTCGCGAGTATTACCCGAGCAAGCAGACAGTAAATAATTTCAAATACACAGTGCATTCGTTCGTTATTTGTTATTATTAAAATATCAATGACTTGGAAATGACTTAACATTTCGTGTATTCATTAAATTATCTTTAGTCACAAGTCTTTAGCCTATCAAGTCTTCCATACGCAGTAAACGTCTACATGACATGAAATAAAAGTTACCTCGTCTCGTGCTGAATGAAGTCCTCAAATTAATATATTAATATAATAACAGAGCAATCTGTATGTTGTGATAATATCATTTATATTAAAAAAAGAAAGTAGAGAGTACCTTTAATTTTGTAAGCAATTGCAAGACAGCAATGCATTCATTCATTCTTTGTTATCATAAGAAAAAGCAGATAATCAGATATCTGAAATGAATTGTATGTCTGAGCATCCTAGTAAAACCTAGATAGTCGAAATTGACAGCACTATTATTCGCCGCGGTTGCTGACCGCAGCAGTTAACTAGTACTTCATGACGTGGGTGACCGATTAACCTTGATTAACCTTCGCAACGTTTTAATCCGCATGTAACATTGTTACGTTTATTGACAAAATATCGATCGGCTAGCGATCTCTTCTTTGGAGGAGCATTAGAATCATCGGTTGCGACGTTGAGACCAACGTATATTGATGAACCAATAAAATGTTGGATAAAATTATCGAGATGTTATTGAAAGATTAAGAAAAGATTAGCGTTTATTATTAGGATTCTGCAAAACCGTATTCGTATTTAATTTCGAAATTGTCATATAACATTGATTAAAATAATCGCTGCACTCTCGACCCTTTTTAATTCTTTTTTTCTTTTGACAGTCGGTATCTAGTTAAGATCATGAGAAAGTATTCTGGGTACCATGCAGGGTCACTCATTAAAATACAAAAGCTTCAATGTGTGACGCGGTAGTTTATTTAAATCCATGCAATTATGCAATTACTGTTAACTGCTGTTAAATATGTCCGCTGCATTTACAGGCACAAGAATGTCTTAATTTATGGCTCGTTATTAATTATTATGTCAATGCCGCTTTAACGAAACATTCAACGATAAATGGTGTTTGTGATTACGCGTTATCTGCAAGCAGTATGTAACTCTCGTGTCACACACACATTTGCAGTACATCTCGATCGTAATTGCTTAGAGCGAAAATAAAGTTCGAACAACAACAGCACTTTCATTTATTTGCACAAGATTGGGAAAAACTCGGCGGTAGCTTTCTTCGCTGCCAAAAATACCGCGCTGCTTCAAGTGTGAAGCGTTTTAAAACGCGAAAAAGTGGAATTACATAGAAATTTATTTCTCTGTGAAATTGGATTTTTTCGAAATATTCTTCGAAATTAGACACTAGCTAGATTTCCTAAATTTTATTCTGTCGTTTTTTATTGTGTTTTCTATCAACTTTGCTTAAACCTTAATCTAAATTTAAGTCTTTGTCCAGATAGAGTTTGAATTTAGATTAAAGTTCAATCACTGTTGGTGGAAATGGGCGTCAGTAGCACAGATTCCATTCACTAACGATTCCTTTCACTTCCCCACTCTTCGCAAAAAGGTTTTCCACAGTTAAGTGGAAATCTAATGTATTATCATTTCCACGGCAAGGCTCTAGTATCTAAATCTGGTTGATTTATATCACGGTTTATATTCACACAGTTCTCTCTTCTTACCATAAAGTGCAGATATGTATATATGTGACTATACTTGGATATATCAGGTTGAATGTTTCATGTTGCTGCAACAATACGTGCAGAAATAATTTTCGTGACTTGCAACAAGAGCGCGCAAGGCGCGAAATCTTTTTATAGCGCGATACAACGGTAAGTTATGTTGCGGACCTGAACGCGCTTCTCTTTGTGTGGAAAATCTTTGTGTTGTCTTCATGTTTATCACGCTCTAGTGCAATTATAGACAAGAGTCATGAAAGCATCAGAAATTCAAATAAACATAAAGAGAGTATAAGAAGGCACGTGTGCATACAGCATTATATAATATTAACAAAGAGTGCTCTCGAGTATTGCGACTCTATTTTTTGTATTGGAAGTTCATTGACTGTGCGCGTGTGCATCCTACTTTCACAATTTCAGTTGAACTAGCGATGTCACTGCGACAGAATTTGCAGCGATCAGCAACGGCATGCATGGAAAAGTATATACTGTGTTCAATTAAATGTTATTTCAAAAATTTCATATATATCTTATATACCCGCGCGCAAATCTATCATAAGCATCAAATTTATTTAAAATATTTTCTGAATCCTAGTATATTTAGTATTTCAATGAAGAATATTAAATTGAAATAAAAATTCGATTTATAGGTATAGCTTCCGAAATGGAGCCGTGTCTTGAATCAACGATGTGCCGACGTTTCGCAAACGTTGCAGTTTGTATCATCAGGGCTGAGAACTCTGATCAGATATGCTCTAAGTTATTCAGATACTATAAATTTAAGTTTTGTATTGAAATAAAAAAATTGTTTTTACGTGAAAAGCTAGCGGTTTCTTAAGAATTTAAGAAAATATATATTTCACTTGAAAAATATTTTATACTAGTATAAGTAAAAATGTTATTAGCGCTATAATAAGATATGCTACTACATACTAATAACATATAACTGATAACTTTTTATATATTTACTGTCAGTGCATAGAGTCCAATCAATTTTTTCTTTAATAAAGCTTTATAATATTCTTGTAGAGACATTTTTTTAAATACATGATAATGAACTTTTCTAAAATTTGTGACAAGTATATTTGAAGTATATTTGAAGGCTATTATATCAAGAAGATAATCTTTAAGGATAACCATAACTTGAAAGAAAGAAAGCAAACTAAGTTTTCTCAACAGTAGAATATTTTTCTATATATATACATTATTATATATATAAAATAAAGTTTTATTTATTAATTTATAAATGCATGCGCGCGCACATACAGTCAACACACGTTTCATCGTAATGATGTACTGCGAATGCGAAACGAATTTTCCGTACATTTAATATCGCCACGTGCTTTTGCACGATAAAGCGAATTGCACTGGACGACTTACGCACTGACGTAAAATTAAATTGCAAATGTAAACGATTGTTAATCATACCGATCATCACCGCCAGGATAATGCTGACCGCGCTGAAAAGTCCTAGTTCCCTCTTCAGTTCGATTTTTCCGGTCGATCGTTCCTTTTTCTGCGTCATTTTGCGAAAACTTCTGTGTACCGGCGAATAAAGAATAAAGAAAAAGAAGTGTGTCACGAAGTGTGCTGCACTCGCGCTGAGTGAACGATGATTCAAAATTCACTGACACATCGCGACTCCGATTCCGTTAAACTGCTCTGTATTTGCGACGGCGATCTGTGGCGGCGGTGACTGCCGCAACGCTAATGACGATGACTGTTGGACCTTATCTCCACTTCTGAACGATAATTCTCGTCGTCGTCGTCGTCGTCGTCGTCGTCGCCGTCGTCGCCGTCGACGCTCCCACAATCGCAACGGAACCAACCACGCGACCGGAGCTACTATAGCTGACGTTTATCGTTGACGACCATCGAGAGGTTCACATCGCGATCGGCATGTTAACGGGTCAGCTAGTCGTTTATTTTTTTATTGATACACGCGTATTGCTCTGATAAGAGGATACTCATCTTCATTACGAGGCCAGCTGACGACTGCTATCTTTGATGATCGATCGTTGTGAAATTCAATGGAAAGATGGTAAATCCGTAGAAATCGGTATCGAGCGGGCTTGCGCAGTTTCGTTTAAGATGATCCTGTGCGCGAACATATATTCGTTTCGTGGCGGTGTTAAATGAGTTGTTTGCTGGAATTTAACGAGGTCGGCCGCGTCTCATGTTGTTGAGTAAAGCCCACCGATGACATCTAATCAGCCGCCTTGGCCGTCAAGTACCTGTCGCAAACGTATCATTGCAACTGCGAAAAGTAGATAGATAAGATAGCTGTCCGAACTTGAGCACGTCTGTCTGGTATTTCGGTATTACGATCAAGTGGATTATTTTTTTTTTTCTTACATTCTTCTCTATGATCACGTTAATCACGCAGTTATAAACGAGTGTTTTTAGTAATTTATCTTCAAGTTATTACAAGACACCTCGATAAATGCATGAGTCATATATCACGTTTAATTAGGTCTTAATGTATATTATTAGCGTTAAAGACGCCATTAAAACACTATTAATGATTCTCAGTATGAGAATTTCAAATTTAAATTTGAAATATTAATAAAAGTGTCCACAACGTCGAGGTTGTCACAATGTCATGTCAAATAAACACCGACACGATTTTGCTATATTTTTGGTATTTCTTGCAGTACAGTTGCTAATTAAGTCTTCAGTAGACTTATTTTATAACTTTTTAACGACAGTGTCGTTATCGTTACGTTGTCATTGCACATTGTCATTATAATTATATAATAAAAAAATACGCAATGGCATATCACGCTTAGTAAAATTGTCATTTTATCGTAAAATGACACAACCTACTATTTTTACCTACTTTCCCTTATAATTTTTTTGTTATGTTAAGATCCGATTTCACCAACGTCGATCAAGCTTTACCCAGCAAACAAAATGATGTCAAATTATGTCTTAATGACGTATTATTGACGTCTTTAACGTCAATAATACGTCATTAAGACGTCATTTGACGTCATTTTGTTTGCTGGGTTAAACCGCGTTTAAACTATTTAAAACAAAGACTTAAACTCAGATCAAGGCCCAATCGATGTTGGTAAAATCGGGCTTAATTTTATCCCAGCAAACACCAACGTCGATCGATGTCAATCGACGAGTCATTTCTCGCTGGGAATATAAATATAATATAACGCGTGTGTTATATAACAGTTACATTGTTGAGTGGAAAATTATAACTAACATTTATGCTACTGTTATTTGGTGTTTGCTGAGACGATTATATATTTATTATTAAAACAAAAGGAAAGTATTCGTACTATGTTGCACTTCTGCTCGATCGATTGTAAGTGTCACTTTATGGGTACATTCTTTTATTTCTACATATTTTGCAAGAATTTTTAGCGTGTATTTTTTCACCTCGCGTCCTTATGACCTAGCGTCATAAAACAAGATGGCCGCAGCGAGAACACAGGAGAGCTTTAACCCACACAGCAGAAATGTCCAAAATATATCATTGGGAATAAACAAACACGTTAATTAGACTCTAAGATTAAAATAAAAAAATAACTATAGCAAGGCCAATAAGAGCCAAACACTGGGTAGTATGAAAAATAATTTAATTAATATAAGAATCATGCAACAAATTGACCCTTACATGTGTATAAACGTTTTGGTTTCTAATTCAAACTTTCTTCAGTATAAATATTATTCGCTCGCAAACAGAATTGTGGACAACATCAAGCTATTGGATGACATTTACTTACCTATTATAATTTTAACTGATTTGATATTATGTAACACAATATTTACTTTAATATTATTTAATGTATCGTTACGTTTCTTGTGTTGTTATTTGCCTTTGATTAGTTGCGAGCGAAAACAGTCTACATCTGGTGTGCGAGATTTGCTGTCACGAAATTTGCTTGTTTTCTTGTTTGGGACGCCAAAGATATGAGATTTTATTTTACTAGATTAAATTTATTTCATTTTGTCATTACGTTATAATCTTTTTGCCTCTCTCAGCTGCCGCAGCGGATAATCAACCATTTGTGGCATTGGGAGATGTTTTGCAATTCTGTTGGAAAAGGTCTAACAATCCATCTTTTCTTGACTATCGCGAGTTACTAGGTTGCGACCGCAATACTCTTGAGCGCTTCTTATGCGATTAATGTTGTCCACAATTGTTCTGTTGACGAGCGAATAATATTATTTATATTGAAGAAGGCTTAAATTAGAAATTGAAATGTTTATACATGTAAGGGTCAATTTGTTGCATGATTCTTATATAATTAAATTATTTTTTATACTATCACTAGGTGTTTCTCTTACGAAAAAATATTATAAGAAAATTACTGAGAACAGTAGTATTTTCGTCAATTAATGAAAATACTACTGTTTTGAAAACTTATATTAAAACTATTTATAAAATTAACGAATAGGTTTTCTATAGTTTTCCAATAGTATTGTAATAAGTATACAGTAGTATTCCAATATTTTTCAATAGTGTTTCAATAATTTTCCTATTGTTCTTAATAGTTTTTTCTTATAGTTTTTTTTCCGTAAGGATTGGCTCTTATTGACCTTGCTGTTATTTTTTTTATATCATTGGGACATCCTAAAGATATCGCAACATTTCTAAGACATCCTCATGAAGTATTTGGAACATTTCTGCCCATATAGCATAAATGTTCAACAGACATCCTAGGAACGTTCCAGAAATATTCGAATACTCTTGGAACGTTCCTAGGACTCTGATGAAAATAAAAATCTTTATAAACTGTTCGATGAGAATTTCTTGAGAGTTTATAAGCTTTTAAACTTTGTATGAACGTTTACTCAACTTATAAAATACTATATATAACATTTCGTGAAAGTTCTGTAATGCTGAAGCAGCGCTTTTCAAAGTACGCTCAGTAAACGCTGATATACGTGCAGAGAGTTTGCTGTCAGACTTTTAAAACGTTTAAAAAAACACTTTTTCCAACGCCGTAAGATAAACATTTTCTCTCCGTTCAACAAATGCTCTTCCAATACGCAAACGCCTTTCAAACGCTACAGTGTTGCAATTTCCGCTCTACTGACAATTTCTAAACTCTCAACGTACTCCCGCAAACGCTTATGTAAACGCTAAACAAACGTTTATTAAACTTCTTATTTTCGTCAGGGGATGTCTATTGAACATTTATGCTGTATGGGTTTATGGAAAGTACAGCGATATTTTTCCTTAATGAGTCCTACAACATATTCTGTATCCAATAAGTAAACGTATTTCCTGATAACTGTTAAAAAACAAATTCTCCTATTAGAAACGTTATGAAACTCATCGAGAATAGAAAGTATTGCTCTTAATCACATAGCCAACTATGCGTATAAATCTTTAAAAAAATAAATAAAAATGTGTTACTTTGTTTTATTTATTTAACGAAAAACACAATCACGCACATATATAAATCTTTTTTTACAAACTATTTATATATTTTGAAGTTTCTAAAAAAAATTCAGTTGTAAAGATATATCAATATCCCAGGTAAAGCATAAAATCATTCTCACACAGCAGGAATGTCCCAAATATATCATAAGGATATTTTGAAGATATCGGCTATCCCAAATATATCTTTAGGATATTTCTATGATATATTTTGGATACCTCTGATGTGTGAGTTTTGATGTCAAGATTATATCATTTTGACATCATTGTCATGAAATTGTCATGAAAATGGTATCGTTTGATGTCAAAATGACATTACTTTTATATCATCCTTGTTTGCACAGCGTGGCAAGAACGTTACAAACACGACCCAGCGAGAAATGACTCGTTAATCGACGTCGAAACGATGTCGAATCGAAATCGTCAAATCGACGTCGATTCGACATCTAATCGATTTGCCGTTTCTCCCTGGGAACGTTACTACGTCGTAGCGACGTGCCGTCACGTCCGGTGCTGTCACGGATTTGATGTCATTTTGAGTTTTGTATGACTTTATGAATAGTTACACAGAGAATTCAAAAAGAATTAAAAAAGGATTCAGTTGTATCCCACATAGAAATTGGCTGCGTTCAGAAAACATAGCTGATCAGTGAGCGGTAAGTTATTGGTCCTTACTGTTAGATCTCTAACTTTAGACCAATTACATTGACGAATTGCTCAACGTTGTTCAACTGTTGAGTTCGCTGAACGCACCCATTGACATCCAGTAGATGTCCATCAAACTTCCATAGTTCCAGACCGACACCGATTTTCACTGTTCGATGCGCCATCTTCACCCATTTTTGGCTGCGTTCAGGTTCTCCACCCGGGTGTATTCTATTACTAAAAGTGCTATAGTTTATGTAACATATACTGTAGTGTTTCTAGTAATAGAGTGCACCTGGATGAGGAATCTGAACGCACCCTTTGAGGTAGAACTACGTTCCCTACATCCATTTTCAGACGCTGCCGGTAAAGTGTCAATTTGTGTTGCGTATCCATTCTACGCCCATTTTCTAGCGATTCGTGTCCGTGCTAAGCGCATAATTGCATGGTTAAGAACTTGGACGGTCCTGTGAGAGTTATGGCTCCTGCACACAGGACGCGGTAATGCTTGCCGCACGGTGGAAGTCGCGCGACAGCCAATCAATATGCTGCTTTCCGTAATAACCTTCTAGTTCTTACGGAAAAACAAGATATTGATTGGCTGTCGCGCGGCAAGCATTCTGCGCCTGTGTGCAGGAGCCATTACTGCAGCTCTTTAACTGCACCACTGAACTGGTGCAGTAAGAGTGAGACAAGTATATCTTATCTCGCTCTAACTTATTGCTTTACAAATGGCGCCCAACCATAATGTAGGATTCACACCGCGTCCAATGTTTGGTCCTGGAAGCGCTGCAGATGTTGACAGACGTTTTGCTGCAGACACAAGTTAGCGGCTAGCAGTCCATGGTTATATAGTCAAAGCCTGAATCATAGTGAGAGAGAGAGAAACTTTAACAATTTTGACAACTTAAGTATGACCACACCAGAAGAGGATGCAAATTTTTCACATAAAATATATAAGAATGACCCAATTTTATTTAATAGTTATGTTGGAAAAGAAATCAAGATAACGATGAAAGATGAAGATGTTCACCATGGTGTTGTTTATACGATTGATCCAGTATCAGAGAGGTTAGGAAAGCTATCAAAATGATTTTTTAAATTTTAATAATCAAAATTTTAGTATAATTTTTGATGCTAATTTTATTTTATGAAATATATATGTTTAGTGTTTATTTTTTTATTATATAAAAATATCTAAATATATATTTTATAAATCATATATATATATGCATTCTACTCATTTGCATATTTATGATTATTTTATTGTGCATCTCAGGATTATTTACTTATGTTAAATGTTTCAGTATATTTACCCAACTTTTAATTAACTTTTTGATTTAAATATAAATAATAATGTTATTTTGCAGTGTTGTGCTTCTGCAGCCTAAGAAATCTACAACATATAGTTTGAAAATAATATCTGGCCATTCAATTAAAAATATGAAAGTAACATCTGAAGAGAAAAAGATTGTGCCAGAGCTATTTTTACCACCGTCTATGAAAGTTTCTCAAGCAACAGTCATTGAAAGAAAAAACACTATTAAACAATTATTGCTGGAGAATCGATTTCCAATTAAGGAAGAAGGTGATATTCTGAAAATTGAAGATACTGTAACGATAGAACCTCCATATTATCCAGAAAATTGTACATGTACTAACAGTATTATTTTTAATAGAATACAAAGCATTTTAACACGTGTGAGTAACTAAATAAAATATATATGTATTAAATTTATGTAATTATATTTATGTATTATATATAACGTTATATATATATATTACAGAGACAAAATAAAATTATTCTTCAGAATGTTCCAATATATCTCCACATGGATATGGTTTTACGTAAAATTAAGTATCATTTTACATGCATAGAATGAGATACACAGAAGTATAATTCAATTAATCAGTTCTTTGTAATATAATAATAATATATTTTACCAAAGGAGAGAGCATTCGTTTTGCTAATTACAAAAATAGCTTTATGATTGTTAGGAATGCATATACTGCAAAATTCAGGAATGTTAAAAACGGCCGACTATTTTATAATGGATATGTCTCGTTCATCTTCCAACGATCGATGCCGGCGTTAAGCTTCAAAAGAAGTCATCTTCTAATACAAAATAGCTTCCCGCTTCGCAGAGCAATATTCTTGCTTATGCGATGCTAATACACTTTAGGAATGTGCTTATTCTCTGGAAAGTATAACTGTTTGACATTACTTATATTTTTTTTAATATAGAAATCTGTACGATGTGAAATAACGCAAAGATTACGAATAATTCGATAAGAATAGAATATTCATACGCGTTCATACTTATTTAGAAGTTGTGCTCGAATTAACTGTTTTATAGTACGATTGCGTAAGCGTATAAAAAAAACGCAGGTTTGAACAGAACATAGTTGTTACGATCAGTTTTTATCGCATCGTAATATTTAACACTAGACGTAATTGAATACAATGTTTATGCGATGTATAATCTTTATGTTAAATATAGCATTGCTGACATAACGAATGCGAACGACTCAAAATTAGGGAAATAGATTTAACGTTAAACGCACATCTAGACGCTGTTTGTACGTTTCGCTTGTCTTATAATTTCATTGCGAATTGTCAGAAGAATCTCTCATTGATTCTTGCATCATTGAATCTCTGACTGATATTGAATTATTTCTCCATGATATAAGACATATAAAATTGATATGCAATTAACATAACGTATTTTGTTGTCGTTAGGCAGCCTCACATACATCCAGTGAGTGATACAAGGGTGAGTTTCACTCTGTAATTCCGGTTACGGTCAAAATCTGACCGACAGTATTAAGGTTCCAACTAATGGATATGACTTTCTTATCCATTAGAATTATCAGTTGGAACTCTGATACTGTCAGTCAGATTTTGACCATAACTGGAGTTGGTGAAACTCACCCTAAGTTTGATGCGGGATATACTTATAACACGAAACGTTAAACTATATAATACGGAAACATAAAAAAATAGTATATATCTGAAACGTTTCAGAATAACTGTAACATTATTTAATACATATAATCTGTCGCCGGATAGTCGATTGTACTTCAAAGCTACTTTGAGCCCTAAAACTAGAGCTGTCTAATGTATGATGTCGCGCGAGAGCGATCTGCAGCTTTCGATATATTTACAGCGTTTAAATTTTAAACTTAAAACCTGATAAAATAAAGGATATATCGAAGTTTGCGAAATTTCATATAAGTTTTACAGATTCTACACTATATGTGTTATTGCTGTACATATTCATAGTAATGGGATTCTCTTAAAACTTACAATAACATTTTTTCAGCTAATTGGCTGGTAATCTATGTGACAATAATAACATAATACAAGCGAGTCTCAAAATACAGAGATATATCCCTGATGTGTATATTGAAGCACTTAGATATTACGCAGAGAGATTTACAGTATTAATTAATGCAGTCCTGAATGTTTCTATTTAAAACAGCCTATTCTTCTTCAATTAATACTATTGCGTGTTAAATTTTAACTGTAGTTCTAATCATATATGTGAAAGATCGCATGTAATGCTGAATTGATTTAAAATGCTGAGATATCTTATTTGATTTATTTGCAATACTTGATATGGGAATAAAAAGCAATACATTTCTGATACGTCGTGTTAAATAGGTCGTAATGCGTCATATGTGATAATCAAAATTCATTCACCTATATTTATATATATATTTTTTTTTTATAAAAACAGCATATGATTAAAATATTATTGAATCTTTTACGTAAGTTCTTACGCTCATGTATTATCCGATCTGTCGGTCATACATTGCCCTCATAAATTCTACGAGATCATAATAGTGGCAGTACATTTAATGCATATGTGAATGAATTCCAACAGCAATCGTTGAATATTCAGCGAAGCGATCATTTCTATTGTTTCATTGTTTGAAGCTCACTCTCTTGTATATTAAAAGATTATTTTTATTTTTTCTTTGGAATTTAATTGGAAGCGAGTCATATTTTGCACAAATCTCCAATGAGATATAAATATACATAATTATGTGGAAATAATCATGTAAGAAAAATTGTCCGTGTCTATACGCATTAGATTCGAACTTCGTTTTGGCTTGTTTGTCAATTGTTTCCACTATATGATATAAATAAACCGAACTAGTTCGGTTAATCGAGCGATTTTACAGCATATCGTGAGATATGACGCAAAAGGCAGTCGAAGTGTAGGAAATTCGGCATGTGTTTCCAGTTGCCGCGATACCTTTATATTTTTATGCGATTTCAGAACTGAACTTCTGTTGCACTGCGCGCAAATACTGCGAAAATTTTTAAATAATACGATTATTGCTATGTACATTTAATTGATGATCTGATAGTGTCATTTTTCTCAACTTTATCAAACTCCCTAAACTTTGCATTTTTATCAATTTTACTAAATCCGTTTGCTCGACAAATACACCCGGATCGTTACAACACGTCATAGATGTAGGATCACTATAGATATTAATACATTTGTATTTTCTCGTGTTCTTATTAAAAAAGCGCGAATTTGTAGTAACTATAACATAGTTCTCTCGTTTGATGTAAGAACTGTATAATATCTACATGTGTACTCTCATTGATACAGTTACTTCCATTAATATTCGAATAAGGATTAAATTTTTTTATAACACATCATTTACCCTTATTATAAAATACTGTACGTAATTTTCTATTAACTGGGATATTTTCTTTTCAGACAAACGTTAACAATGATATTTTTCGTTTTACAAAAATATTTCGACAAATCGTGGTATTTTTGTTTTAGAATCTTTTGAGTTAACGTTCAAATTTATCATATGCCTTAAACTATAAACGACGATATTTACCTTCTGTGCCAGATATATTCTGTGCGATATCCGAATAATAATGGGAGTAATTATTTTATGGCATTAAAGCTCTTGGTAATTACTTTAGTAACTTGGGAATTACTTTAGTAATTCTTAAATAAATTGTCTAGCGATTTATTATTACTGTATGAGAGGTAGGTCATTCTGTCTCACTATCGGAGTAATATTCTATCTTTGCGGTAGTACGAGGTTTCTTCGAATACCTTAATCCTAATGTGTCAGCAATATCCTCGATATGTGACAATACCTGTAACATAACAGCAAGATTATTAAATAAAATAAACGTTCCTATTTTATAAGGCTACTTACATAGTCCAACTGTTCCTTTGTATGTGCAGCTGAAAGGCAAAATCTAATTCTACCTTCCATTATCGGCGTTGCTGGGAACCCGACACCAACGGTTGCAATCTTACGCACCGTCAAAGTACGTACCACTGCACTGTTGAGCATATTAAAGAAAAATTTTGTATATTCTACACAGCCACGCACGCACTCTTCTATGCATGTATACTTATTATATTTATATCTTATTATATTTTTTAAATATACGTTTTAATTATAGTTTATCGTTCTTCTACTATCAAACAGGGTTGGATAAATTACACTCAACGGCCCTGAGACTGAGAGCCGCTAGTTCCGCGGACCGCCGCGCGACAAGGGGAGATAGAAGGTGTAGCTTCCGAAAGTCGTCTAAAATGGGCAAACTATTCCAAACTTTGGACTAACTAATTATTACCCAATTCTGATATTAAAACGTGCTATTACGTAAGTTATCAATTTTCGGAAGTAGCAAAACTGATTCTTAATTTTGAAAATGTTAAAAAATGTTATTGTTCTTACCCGATCTTAGAAAACAGATAAACTAGCATAGGCACAACGGGTGAATCCTCGTTTCCGTAGATTATAACTCCGATTTGATGCAGTCTGCGTCGAAAATATCTTGTATTTCTAGCTAGCTGCTTGATAAGTTTTTTACCTTCATTCGTGCCATCTTCCCCTGCGATAATTTGCATTGACGTGATAATTTGTTGTGCAACGGGCGGAGACATTGCTGATGCATATGTATGCGCGTGACAGTGTATTCTTAAATGGTCTATCAATGCCTGAAATCAATATTCTGATCGAACGCTTGCATATATTAGAAAACATTCTACGTCAACGCTAAAACGTAGATCGTTGAAGTATGCTTAAATTAATAAATTATTACACTAATTACTAAATTACTTTTTTGCCAGCTATATATCCACCCGCCGAGCCGAAACTTTTTGTGTATGTTCCCATAAGTATATCGATATCATGTGGGTCAACGTTGTAATAATCGCAAATTCCTCTTCCGCGCTTTCCTGTAGAACCTATACTGTGAGCTTCATCCAAATAAAGGTAGGCCTAGATTTGATAATTGGAATTTTATATTAACCATAAGAAAATCTCAAGATAGGTTGATAACTGAAACTGCTTACGAACTTTGTACTTCTTTTTCAGTTCTACTAGCTTGGGTAAGTAAGGAATCGTGCCCTCCATAGAGTAAATACCCTCGACGACTATGACTATCTTCCTCCAAGGTGCGCCGGTCTGCGGCTGTCCAAAAACAACGGCCTTTTTCAAACATTCCTCTAAGTGTTTCACATCTATGACAAACCGTGACTTCTTTGTACATTCAAATATAATATAATATATATATATATATATATATATATATATATATATATATAACATAGTATATAATAACAGATAATAATGATCGTTGAGATCGTTGAGAGAGGTGTACGTTATAAGTGAATATTATATAACGTACTGTTATGCTCGACGACTCGTATTACTGCACCCGATAGTCGCAGTCCGAGAATAAGCGACGCGTGATTTTTTGCATCACTGAGGACCAGACAACCTTTTCCGACCAAAGAGGGTAGAGTTAAAGCATTCGTTGCGAATCCCATTCCGAATACTATGGCATCTTCGACTCCCATAAATCTGGCAGTCAGCTTCTCCAGTTTATTGTGTATCGACATAGTTCCTAGCACACAATAGAAACAATTCTTTTGATTTCTTTGCCATACGTACAATTTTAATCAAAATATATAGAGTATGTATTTGTTAAATTGTAGTAAGTCCAAATTAAAAGGACGAGACAAGTTTTTAAACAATCAACTTTTCATGCTTATTACAATTCGATATAAAAGTTTACAATAATTCAATAATCTATGAATATTAGCTATAGTCATTTATCAAAGATGTTGCATCTTTTTAACATACACTATATTATTTATTAGACTATATGTGTGCAAGAAATGATAGAATACCCAAATATGATTTTACACTAATTTTAATGTCTGCCTCTATATAAATATATAAAAAAAGAGATACAAACTGCTTTCTAGACAAAAATTTTTTATATTATATATTTTTAATAACGTAATGTAATGTCGATTAACTTTTCTTTTTACACTCGCGATAAAAACACAGATTAAATCCTAAGAGATCTGTTTAGCTAGACTAGATTGCACTTTTATGTTTAGAATGAAACAAGTATATAATACAGCATTGAAAGGGAAAAGTACGACGTTCCAGTGTAGAACTGGAACTGATTTAATTCATCTAAACAGAACAAAGTATTTCTAAGGACTTCTCGAGATATATACCTAATTCGAGACGTGTACTGTAAGTGGCACAACCAAGCTTCCTGAGGATATTGATGCTCTCAGCGGTGCACTTATTAGTCGTATCGGCGAATCCTAAATAATTGTAAGAGCCCAAGTTTATACATTCCGTTTCAGTTCCAGTAAATCTGTCAGAAATAAAAATTTGAGACTTCACACGTACACTTTTTACCTATACGAGACGTCGTTGTTATGTGCGATCAAACTTACTGAAATGTCCATCCATAATCGTGAGTAACTCGATCTTTCAATGTAACTTTTGCTCCAGGAACGGAACATATCGGTATATTCCAGCAATCCCTGACCCTTCTGTAGACGTATCTAAGATAAAATTTCTCAAAATCTTCATAGAGCGGAGCGTATCCCTGAAATATATATACGCACGTTTAATGGGAAAGAATAACAGAATAATATTGAAATATTATAATTAGTCCATTTACGAGTGTGCTGTAATTTTAAATTTTAATTACATGTAAATTAGTATTGCCGCACCTCTCTGTTTTTTTCGCGCGCAACCTTCGGGACGAAGAATAACTGATTAATAAATCCCAGAAACATAAGAATATAAAATCCAAAGTGCGTCAGCGCTGCTGTGATGAACGGAACTTTTTCAGCGGACTCCTTCGATCGTGGGTTTGGTATTCCGTGGCCTTTTTGCAATTCCGTTTTTATCAGGCTGTGAGGAAACTGTAACAAAATCACTCACTATATATTATGTTACATAAAAACAATAATCAACACATCTTATATATAAAAATTGTATGAAATAACATTAGAAACTACATTCGATTGAGATTTCGTATGAACTTTGTGATCGTATTGAAAGCACACATTTATCGTATTGAAAAGCAACTGTGACAAATTTGTTTACATGCTATGATACGCGGCAATATCAATCGCGATACATATTATACAAAAATAACTACATGTTCGCGGAAATATTAATTAACATATGTTGCATGCACGAAAAGAATTTTATACTAAAAAATATTATGGAATTTTATAGCTGAAACATAGATCGATGTTCTGCAGTAATTGACTATTTTTTACTCTTATTATATTACTCTTATTATGCTACTTTATATTTTAGGAATTTCCTACGTTTCCAGTTACTAAGTTTCCAGAAACTTACTATGTTGCTTAACAAGATACAAATTTTACTGATATTATTGCGCTACTAAAAATGTAGTAAAATTGAAGGGAATTTATATAAAAAAAAAAAGGAAAAAAAACCATAATATATTCTCTCTGTATATAAATAAATGAAACATTGCACAAAAAGTAGAGGAAATAAATTTTTCAAAATCGTACAGACGTACTCAAAAGGTGTCACATGATGGAATTTGAAAAAAAAATATCTAAAAATATGTTTATTCGATCAATAGGCCGTAATAATCGATTCTAATCTGACAGTGACGCGAAATTATGACTCTGTAATTGTAACATGATGTTAAAGTTAGTCGTGCATTGCATTACGACGCGATCGAATCATAGATGCGTGTGTATGCGCGACAATACATTCAGCGTTTTCGATTGAGGCATATTTGGGTCGTCCATTAGCGATTCAATCCGGTTTTTCATGAACTTACTTTCAATGCAAAGTGTTTTCAAATCTTACCCAGATAGACTTTCACGTTTATCACGACATGAAACAATCGATGACGGATATTTTTAATGATATTTATGGAGCAAATATGTTGTATTGAATTAATCGTTTGTGTCATACAATTATGTAAATTTTGTATTACACATTAATGCATCAACAAATTATTTGCTCAAAGTCACTCTCAGATTTTCATATTCTACATTTTACATGATATACTATTTCGAGTGAATTATGATAATTTTTTCCACATTTCTTTTGTATATTTATTTTGTCATTCTATATCATAAAAAGAAAAATAATATAAGTGTCATATGAATCACTTATATGAGATACAACCTTTACATGTCGAGCAGTAAAGTTGCCGCCAAATTTATATATACTTATCTATTCGAGTAGTTGAATTTTCACTATAAAACGGAGGAATGACAATAAAATGACGTCATTATTTCGCGATCGGTATTGTCGAATTTTCATTTTTACCAGGATTAATTTAACGATGACGATATGAAGATAAAAGCACAGACAATATAATTGAACCTTGATGTAAGATTAATTATGATAAATAAGACAGAAATTATACCGTCATTAATTGTTACCGAAACGATCCAAACTCGCCTCAATCGGAATATCCTACAAGAATCTATCTCCAGTCGATCAATATATCATAATATTTCTTATAGCCAAAAAGTCACAAGTGGAGGATCGTAATAATCGGTGAGATCTGATGCGACATCATAACTTTGTAATCGTGACACGATCGAAGATAGTGCATACATTTTGTTACGATGTGGTCGGACTGTATGCACGTGTGTAAATACGTGTGACAGTATAGATTACAATCGTAATTTTTTTAAAAAAGCGCATGTCTCGCATATCTCTAGGATCAACTTTTCTTTAACGTGGAATGTCGAGGTGTGCACTCAATTAGTCAAGTAGTTTTTAATTACCTGTAGTTTCTAATAAGGCATGTTTGACGAAAGAAAATTAATGATAGCAAATTATATCTTCATTAATTTCAAATTCTACGTTAACAGGATTTTTAATGAAAATAATTGCTTGACTAAAAGTGTATAATAAATGCTGTTTTTCCTCGACGTTTTTACGGATGACAAATCGTTGCCACGATAATCATAGAAGAGATCCATATCCACCTGAATCACTTCATATCATGGATAAAAATCATGGATATATGGGTAGAAAAACTCGTTTGGTAAACTAGCAGATCCAATCGTTTTACTGTTAAAATCGATTTTCCGAGAAATACAGACTGTTACACTGCAGCATATAAGGTGACACAGTTTCACGTTTCATGCCGTTCATAGCATGGCCAGACCTGTTCGAATTCTCAACTGTGAGCATGGCAGCACATATTTAGATGAGATAACCAGTTTTCTTCTACCATTTCTGAGATTTCTTGTTCTTTCTTCCGATAAAATTTACGGTAGAACTGCAGTTAATTGAACAAACTTTTGTCGTGAGTTTGTTGTTTTATTCCCATTTTAATACTTTGTTCATCGTTCCCATTTTAATTCTCTGTTCATCATTCAAGCGATATATTGAAAATTTATATTATTCGTTTTATATACGACGTACGTCAATCCATCAATATATCATGAGAAATAGATCTCGCAAAAATTCCATTGTTAAAGTTAAAAATTTCATTATTATTACTTGGTTGTGTATTTTGACACAGTATGGTGTGTGTATATGTGTGTATGTATGGAATTACTCCAAAAACATTTATTTTATTATTAATAAAAAAGTTAAAATTCAATTGTGTATGTATTTCTTTTGTATCAAATAAATCGGTACACAAAACAGAGGGACATTAATTATCTTTCTTATCGTTGTTACTTATAAAATTGTGATTGTAATTTTAAAATATTGATATTCATCTGGATATTGCGGCAAGTTGTTAGAACAGCTTTGAAATAGCTCCATACTTATCTCAAGATTTATCTTTGCAGTTGCTGATAACGATTTCCGTGAACGGACGATACGTCCTCTATTCAGAGAATCTCATTGGAGCTTAGAACGGTGGACTAGTACGAGTTGAGACATCGAAGGTCACATGTTAAGAAAAAGAGAGTACTAACGCGCGCAAAGAGGTACTAACTATAAGCGCACCATTTACATTGTTTAAGTCACACTGTATTCTTTGTATTCTTTGTAAAAACAGTTAATCCTTTAGCGACCAACGTTTCTAACGCGCGTTGCGTTTAAACATGCATTGAGAGAGATTTTCTTACGAATATATTTTTACCTAAAAACATCTAAAAACATTAAAGATATTTTCAGTGCGTTTATCTTTGAAATACGAAGCTTATTCTTTTTCGCAAAATGTCCTCAATTGGCGTATACTGGATACAGTGAGTTCGAATGAAACAAATGTTTTATTCCAACTTATTGCATCGATGTACACTTTAGGAAGTTCTTCGGAAAAGAACAGACCTACATTGATATCAAAGGTTTGTTCTTTTTCGAGGAATGTCCTCAACTGGTGTACTAAGAATGTATTCACCTGGTGCGATAAGTTCGAGAGAAACAAGCATGTTTCATTCCACTCTAATTCACTACTATACATCGGGTTAGAAAGTTCTTCGAAAAAGTACAGGCCTTAAGTCTGTTCTTCTTTTATGCCTATCCTATCAATTTTGATTAACTTAATTGGCTGGTTATTCCAATGGAATTGACATCAATCGCATTCCTCGATAGTTAGAATTGATAGATGCGATTGTCAATCGTTATAATTTCGGAATAATCAGCAGGTTAAGTTGACCAAAATTAATAGAAACGGACATTAGCTGGACTATTTTGCAGTTTTTGTCTGACAACAAGTGTATGTGTGAATTTGTGCGCGCACGCGCGCGTGTGTGTAGCGTCGAAAAGTTTACAAAGTTTCAGTGCAACAGCAGCTTTAACTAAAAAATAGAACTATTATAAAGTCTGTTTGTTTTCGAAGAACCTTTGCAGTAAGTTAGAGTGGAATAAGTATATTTTCTTTCACTCTAATTTACAGCACTAATATTAATTTGTCCTTCAACAAAGCAAGCCTATAAATATAAATATGCGAGACCTGCGCGAATACGCGAACGAAGTTGAAAGAATGATATGGGATCTGTTTCCAATTGCTGAACTGGCTGATTTTCTCATCTTTAGGTTTATTTTTCGTTCCTGCACTGCTGAATTGGTGCAGTAAGTTAGGGCGAGAAAGAATATACTTGTCTCACTCTAACTTATTGTACCAATTCAGCAGTGCTGGAACAGAAAACAGACTCTTTGTTCCACCAAATTTTATCTGTGTATATCTATCTCTTTTTAAGTTCCGAAAGTGTACACTAACTGAGCAATAGAAAATAGACCCCTCGTGTGCTCCTAATTCGTGCATGCGGATATTGTAATGTAACGGTCTGTGTCAGCGTGCGACACTCACGAGTGAACGAAGAAGCTACGTTGACGAGCCGGGCGACCGGACGCGCGGTCTGATATGACGCGCGACAAGCACACCAGGAAACGAAGACGATTGTGGCTGCACGTCCGTGTATCCAAAAACGAGGTACGAATAACGGCATATTCGCCGGTTCTCTTTATACGCTACTTACGTGTGCGTGGCCGTTACTCAGTGTGTGACCGTTCATCTTGCCGGCGTCCTCGCAAGAGGAGGTTAAGCCGTTCCGCGGCGGCTGCGTTCTCCTCTTCTCGTCGATGGTCGGCGCTTCTTCGTCGCGCGTATCCACGGCACGTAGCCTCGTGGTCGTGGTCGCCATCGTCGTCGGACCTGTCGCGTTTATCATACAGCGCGCGCGCGCATACACGCACACATATGCACCGACACTTACGCACTATCTACACCGTGCGGCCGAGGTTCAGCGACGACTGAGCTGCCGCGACAGACGGCCGTCTTCGACTCGACTCACGCGAAAAGCCGCGGACGGCGAGATGGGCGAAGCGGACGTTGCGACGCGCCCGCGTTTACTCGCACCACCACCACCACCACCACCACCACCACCACCACCACCACCACCACCAGTACTACCACCAGTACTACCGCCGCTGCCGCTGCCGCCGTCGCACGAGATACAGGGTGCTTTCCAATTGCTTAACACTTCTTGACACACACGTTCACAGAAATGCACAAAATGTGTACTAATGTGTATGTATGCGGGTAGGGTTAGGATTATTTTTCAACATGTCCATACCTTGGTATCTTTTAATAATAAATAATAAGATTTAAATAATAAAAAAGATACTATCCACTTCACGTCGCAAATGCCAATCTCTTTTCAAGCCGCAATATAGCAGCTTATTAATTTTAATTGTCACTAGAAAACACTAGTTACACAGCCGACTAGTAGCCCTCGAGCTGAGTACGGACGTGTAGTGTTGTGTCGACGATTACGACAATTGGAATGCAACTTGTGTCGTCGTGTGCATGAAAGTGTCTAGGGATATTGCAACTGGAAAGCACCCACACTCGCGCTGGCCGTATCACTGTCGTGCACGCCCGGCGTACTACGCGTTGCCAACCGACGCTTGCGCCTAAATCCGAAGTAGTGGTACCGTTTCTGTACGCTCGCGTCGCCCTACGACCTCGGCCGGCCGATGCAGCCGTGCGACGACGAATCACCACCGCGCCGGCGAGCTCCGGGCGCCGCAACGCGCCGCGCTGCGCTGATCTTGCGCGTTGTTCTGCGTCGTGCGCTGCGTCGTTCTCTTCCTCCTTCCTGCCTTTCCCTCTCGACGGATTCCCGCTGAAAACAGGTCAGACGTTTAACCCTCTCCTCCTTCCTCTCTCCGCCGGCCGACCGCGCGCTCGCTTATCTTTTTCCGTGTTTGCGACAGGTCGCGGGACGGGATTTCGTCCTATTTCCTACTCCGGCTGTATGCGCAATAGAGCCGATCGATCGCGCGGATTTCAAAGTATCGAGGTAATATAACGGGCCGTCGTCATGGCGAATGAAAATGGCCGATTCCGAAAGTACAAAAATCGGTCATCTTATTGCTCATCACGACCGCTCTCAGAGTAAAGGAATGTATATTCGCTTAATGGTCGATATACAAGGAGGCGGCGGAGAAAAACTGTCGTTGGAAATACACTGAAGAAAGCACAAGGAACGTAAACAAAACAAACTAACGCAGTTTCTGCTCCAACATAATGTCAAAGTATAAACAGCGACGGTCTGACGCATTGACAACATTGACCGATACCTTTTCCGAGCAGAACATTATGATAATGTTAAAGTGACGAGAAAATGATTATAAACAAATAACCGCCTTTGAAAAAGCCAAAAGCCCTAAAAAAGAAATATAATGTGGAATCAATATTCCTATATAACTGCAATCTTACCCTAACCTAACCTCGACAGTACGATTTCCAAGGGACGTCCTACAGACATTCAGGAAATGTTCTAAGGACGTACTCACAATGAACTTTCCTTGGAGGTTTGTACTCTCTGAAAATATTCTAATGCTATTAGAAACCGGGACGGGAGGCTGACCGATTAAATCAATAGCCGTTCCTTTTTCTTATTAATCTTTCTATAATTATACAGTCAGTTATTTACCTAATCTCTTTTTCACACACACACACATACTGACTTCTGATATTGTTAAAATATTGGGATAAGATTGTAGGTATATTGATTCGAACTTTTTAGGATTTTTTAGAATTTTTAAAAGCTATTTTTTTAAGCTTTTTATTTTATTTTGTGTTTTTTAATTATTCACTAAACGGTTGCTTTTGATGTCAGTTAAAAACTCATTTCTTAATTATAATTCAATCATTTTTATCATTTTGATTTCTCATCGTGACTTTTTTTCTATCTGGGTTCTTTACTCTAAAACGTATAAAATTTATATATACACGCATACACTTTTGATATTTTTGTTATATATAAAAAGAGAATAATTATATAATAATGTAATATAAAATAATAAGAGTATATGTAATTACATAACAACAAATTGTAGGATTATCGTAACTTCAAGTTATCTCGAGTATATGGCGTCATATCAATCTGCCAATGTAATATTGTGTATCAATGCCGTGTCGTAAACGATACTTGTCAATTTAAGATAACGATAAATGCGATATATTATACTTGACCATGAAATACAAGATATAAGATCGAAGTGATGAAAAATCGCAAGAAAATCACACTGCGCAGAGTTGTACACCTAAATAGAACTGAAAATCACGGTAACGAGCGAGTTTTTATAGTCATTTTAACATTATCGTGATTATCTGTCCCATCTAAGTAGAGCAGAAAATCACAATGATATGAAAATGACGAGAAAATAATCGAATCGAAAAGAGAGATTTTTGTCATTTCCTCAACATTTTTTGTTCAGCCTAGATATCTGGAATATCGTTCAGCTTTGTAAAACTTTAAATACCGGGATAAACCGCGGTGCAATCAATAAGACACTCCCTGCAAAAATAAACCAAACGTGTAAGATAACGTTTTGTTCCGGGTGTGGCTTTCATCAATAAATTTATCATATGGACACACTCGCCACGGTTCCTTCGTCGGTTCTTGCCTTTCGAAGTCGTCATTCTCCGTTTCCGCTTCCGAAAACGGAGCGCGAGGTGAAAGAAGCATGAATCATCGATTACACGATAACGTCGATCAGCCAGTCGTTCGATTGGTCGATCAGCCGGTCGGCCGGCAACTTCAAGTCGATCTCGGCAGGGACTCGCGTGTAGCGCGCGCGACATAAATCTACCAATTACCCGTGAAACGTGAAAACAACCAAGTGTGGTGACATTCGGTCTGGTCAATGGTGGATTTGATATGTGCACGCGAATTTGTCCGGCTATGCGAATTTGACGGTTGCGTCTCCCTTCTGCGTGCCGGTCGACAGTGGGGGGTGACAGCGAGCGCGCGATTGGTCCGCGCCGCGTTCGGCACGACGGGAGAGGGTTACCCCTTCGCGATGGGGAGCGCGGTCGAATCCACCCGTCGATCGTACCGAATATCGTTGAACACCGCGCGACTAGGCATTTGCCGGTTCCGTGCTGTGTAGCTTACGAGTGAGTCGCAGCCGCGACGACCTCTCGTTCGAGTTTCGTTCGTTCAGCCGACGACAACGACGAGGACGCACGTGAGAGACGGTTTCGCGCATCCTCGGAGCCAACTAAAGAGAGAGAGAGAAAGGAGAGAGGGAGAGAGGAGGCCATAGCTCGCGAGAGACGCGGCGCGACGCGACACGACGCGGTAACGAGCAGCAACGGAAGGCGACGCCGGTGAGTCAGGATAGCAAGGACGTCGGATGTGCCCCACTGAGGAGCCGCCGGCAGAAACGACAACGACAGCAGGTGGGAGTAGCAGCAGCGCTCCTCGTAGTACCTGGCTTTGATGAGAGTAGGGAGCGTCGCGCAACATATCGCGCAACGTCGTGCAAAAGGATCGAAGCTTGAACGCTGTCAGCCAGCTCACACTCACCCGCCTCGATCGGTGAGTCATCGTTAGCCGCCAATCCCCGCCAACGACTCAGCGATTCGCTGAGTCCTCCCGAGGACATGGATTCGCGGATTCAGGACGCGCCTAACAACGTGCTTCTCAAGAGGGATCACGATTCCGTCGACGACTTCGAGCATCTCGGTCACGACTCCGGCTCACCGGACGATCGTTCGGAGCAACAACATCAACAGCAGCAGCAACCGCCGCCGCGGCTGGTCGACCCGCCACGTGTCGACGACCTGCTGCACATCGGCGACTCCTTCCAGGGAGCGGACAACATACTACCGAGCGCGCTTCTCGTCGACAGCGACGTCAACGCGAAGCCCGTGCCCGCGACACCGCCGCCTTCTGCGGACTTCGAGAAGTGCGAGGCCATGGCGCAGTCGTCGGATCCGTTCCAGCGGCCACTGGACCCGGTCGATCCCAAGCTGGCTAGCATGGCGTTCGTCGAGACCGAGCGAACTTATCAGCCAGCAGCCGCGCACCAGCTTCATGACGGCGATGACGACGAAAAGATGCACCTAGAGTCGCCGCCACCGCCCCCGCTGTTGCCGACCTCGTTCGCTGATCCTCCGTCATCAGACGTGAAAGCCGCCGACATGGACAACCAAGTCGACGACGAAGTCGGCTTCGAGGAACGCGCAGATACCACGGCCGTTGCCGATCAAGGAAAGTGGCACGAGCGCGAGATCACTCCGCCGAGCAGCGCCAAACCTTTCGACGAGGATTTCGTGCGTTTTGTCAAGTCGTCGGTGTTGCCAGCACCGGAGAAATCGCCGCTATTGGATTTCCTCGGTGATGACGAGACCGCGCCGGCCAAGCCAGACGATGTCAAGAATATCATGGACGACGACTCGTGGAACGTGGTGGAAAAGACGGACGTGAAGCGGGAGCAGCCAAAGGAGCTGGAACCGCCGACGAAACCGTTGCCACCCTTGCCGAAGGAGGCGGAATTGCTGGAGACCGCGCACCACGACAAGTACGAGACGTCCAGTGACTTCCTACTCGGCGAAGCTGTCAAGCCGTCCGCGCCACCGCCACCGCAGCCACGTTCTGTCAACTCGGAGCCCGAAAACACAAAGCGACGAGAAATTCCGAAGCCCAAGGAACTCGATTATATCTACCCTCGCTCAGTCGTCTGCAAGAAGGAGGAGTTCGAGATCGCGCCGAAGGAGATATTCAGAGACATTGGGCTCGGTGAGTACGAAATCACTGCTTCTTGTTTGAGTTTACGTAAATCTCAAGGACGAATGTCTCGTTGGAGAGAGGAAATGACGAAATCTTTAGGCATGCGAACATTGTTCACGTGTTCACTTGCTTTCCGAAAGTATTTGAGCTAAATAAATAATAGGGTTTTTTCGTTATCGTGAGATTTAGAACATCGAAAATACGAGAGAGTCGGACATGCCTCTATTTGTTTACTTTTACGGAACATGAGATTTACGCATCTGGCTACGTTACAAACAAATACAAAAGGTAAACGCATCCAGCTCTGGATATTTTTATTGTTTTGATCTTTAAATATGAATATTTAAATTTTCAACACACATATATATATATATATATATATATATATATATATATATATATATATACACATATATACACACACGGAGAAAGAGAGAGAGAGATAGAGAGAAAGAATATTATAGTTACTTTTATATATAAATTCTTTTCAGTTTTATTGTATGTTTAGCAATACAAGAATAGACTGCCAATAAAGTCTACCTTGCTAGGAAACATGATAAATGTCGCTAGAAATATGGCAAATTTTTTAATAGCACATATAAAATGAAAAAGTAATCAATTATTGCAAAATGTCGATCTATTGCTCGATTACAAAATATTTTATAGTTATTTTTCTATATGTGTGTGTGTGTGTGTGTGTGTGTGTGTGTACACCGTGTATATTCAATATATGTATATATGAATATTCCATGTTGAAAATTAAAAATTTGTATTTAAAAATCAAAACAATAAGAATGTCGAGGGTTAGGATACGCGTCCAGGCGCGCATTGGTGTACTTTGACCTTAATATCGACTTAGTCACACATTTTGTGCGCCATTGTGCGTGAAACAGCCGGGGAGTTTTGCAGATCTGACGAGATGAGAAAGTAAAACAACGGTGTTACATGTGCGTATAATGCCCAGGCGGGATTTGACACGATTGATTAACGCGCGACGTTTAACGTCCGCGAAAATCCGAAAGAGAGGACGCTAATTAATTTAGCGGTGATGCACGAACTCGACCGTGCTCATAAGCGCTTCCGCCTGGTTACAGCGTGCCATCGACGTGATACTTGTTCAACTATCTTTCGTACGTCGCATGCACGTATGCTCCTAAAAATAGACATCCGCAGCCTGTGCTGTAATCTACGTATTTTCTTTTTTCTCTCTATAATGCCACGCTCTACTTAACTACTGAGGAATAATGCATTCCGCGGGGAGCGTCGACGCGCGTAAAATCGTCGGCAACGGTGCCGCAACGTTTGAGTGTCCAGTCACTACGTAGGGATTAATAATAATCGCGAATCGATATCGGCGATGTCGGTGACAGTCGTGAAAACGGCCCTCGCGACGGAACTAGTCCGGCCAACAATTACGCGTTCTTTTTTCTGCTGACATTGCCGTGTATAGCGCTGGTGATGGTAATGCGATGGAGATAGATGAAAACTTTAAAGAGAAACGGAGACGAAGACTAAAGACGCCAATCTTTTCCGCATACCGTGAACGACGTGATAGGGATATATTGGAGGTTTAAAGGGTATATTTCTTTACCATGTAAAGAGTAAAAGTGTCAAAGACCTGGAACACGCATCTAAGTCTGTGTATTCTTATTGTTTTGGTCTCTAAATACGAATATTTAAACTATCAACATCAAATATATTAGTGCATTAGTTAACAGATGTATTAAGGAAATTGCAAAGCAAAATGAGTTCGTTAAGTTTTTTTTTTTTTTATTATTATAACTTGCACTATATAAATTATAATATTTTTTAACTGCTCGTGCGATTATTAAAAGTTGACCAATTGAGAGTTAAGATATTTAAAGGTAAAGTTGACATCTTTTATACATATTCTTTGCGACTTGGCGGTCTATTTCTAATTTCTTGTAAACTAAAATTGTTATTTTAATGAAAAACTACTATGATATCAAAGACTAGTGTACCGAAATTATACAGAAATTTCAGAATTATTGACCGTTTTGTTTGGAAGATACAGTGATGGAAAGTTCGTATAAGTTTATAGTGATACTTGAGATACGTATATACATATATTTAAACATTTATATATCTTTTTTTATTATCTGTGCATTTCTATTAGATCAAGTGAAGCATTAATAAGAAAATAAAGAAATAATATTTCTTAAATTAACATTTATTACTTAGATAATGAAATAAATATATAGAAATGAAATTTTGTTCGATAAATAGTAAGCTTATGAATGGTGGCCTTGATGCGCCATTAAAAATACGTAATTGAGTTTTACAACATTGAGTATAAATGACATTAAAAAAAATAGGCAAACGTAGTTTATAACGTTCCTTGTTACAATGTTATTCATATATTAGTAAACAAATGTATTAAATATCAATAATAAGACCCTTTAGGAAGAACATTTAAATGTTCATAACTTTGTTGTATAATACGGAACTTTGTAATAATAAAAATTTGTCTGTTTTTAAAGAGAGATCGATATATACATATAATAAATTTATACATATATTTTATATTCACAGTTTAAATATACGTATTTAAAAACCAAAACAGTAAGAAGTCTAAGATTAAATATATTGAAAAAAATATGTTTGGTATTTTTGTAAGTATATAATCACATAGAGAAATACTTATTATAAATTATAGTCAAGAAAACAATTTTTTTTAAATTCTACTATAACGTGGTAAATTTATACATGCATGTTATTTTTGTATTGAAATAACCAAAAAATTAATTGAAAAATAACTATAATTTAAATTAGATCGACTATTTTTTTCTCTAAGTGTACGTATTTAAACTTGCTTTTCACCTTACTATTTTTGTATTGGAATAACCAAAAAATATAGTTAAGACTAAAAATAACCATAATTCAAGATCGATAATTTTTTCTCTAAGTACACGTGTGTAGGCTTGATACTTTTTACCCTTAACATTTCTCGTAACTTGACCGGCTAGCGTGTTATTCCGTACGACTTACATCATAGGCTGAAATCCCACCATGCGTTATATCGATCGGAGACACCATTCGCTGCCCCTGTGTGTTTGTTGCGTGTTATTGTGAAAACTAAAAAGTGCGACGCAAGTCGCGTCACACTATGCGTACGGGTTCTTACAAAAATATCCACTTTTTTTCTTACGTACACACAAAAAAAATTTTAGATGGTGCAACCAAATAAGAACCAACTGAAAATTAGGTCAGAAGCGATATTTCTGTTATGAAAACTAATATTTCTGTTGTCGCAACCGAAAATATTCGTCTGAACATTCAACGATATTAGAATTCGGTTGAAGCAACTAAAAACAATTGACTATACAGAAGCCTCATAAAGAAATTTTTCTATTCTTACAACCGAGTTTTCGTCTGATCCTTGAGAAAATTCGGTTGCACCAATTGTTTTTTTCCGTGTGCGTGCACTTCGCGAAATCGTTTAACTCGACATCCGCTTTATTCCAGTTTACAACATTTGGAAAAAAATTGTTATGTGAAATATTCAATATAGTATCCGATTTTTTCTTAAGTATACAGTGCACTAAAATCGCCATGTCTTCTCCACTAAAAATTTTCTTCAATTTCGAAGTTTCTTCAACGAAAATTTCCTAAAACATCTCATAATTTTCGATTAGAAGTGAGACATTTTTTGCTAAGTTTCAAAAGATACAATAAACCGAATTATATTTTGCAGTGCAGTTAAAATAGATTTCACTTTTACAGAGTCTAGAATTTAATTATATTATAGTAAGATGATTGGAAAGATAAACGATAATTTTCCTCACCTTTTTCTAAAAAAATATCGTTCATCGTAAATACCAAAGAAGCTATTCTTGGTAAAAATCTATGTAGTTTTCCTAGACACTCAATCAGTTACTATCTAGTATTACATTGAGAAAAATCATCCGATAAAGAATTAATAAACGGATATTTCCAATCAAAATACTGATTTTTGTATCCAATTCGGAAACATTTGATGAGAAATATCGGTTCAAAATTTTTTGATTGGCATTATATGTATAATAAAATGCCATTATAATCAGAAATTAAATTGAATCGGATATTCTGATCGAATATAAAAATTGATTGAATGAATTTGATCGGAAATATCCGTTTGTTAATTTTTTATCGGATAATTTATCTCAGTATATTGAGTTCTGATTAGCTGTATCAAAATTGTGTAGCAAATGGAAAAGAACTTCTGGTAGAATTTTGTTCATTTCGGTTTTAGCACAAAATTGTCCATTTTATGAGCAGTAAATTTGCTTATTAATCGATTGGATAGTTTTGTTGTCCATTTATTGTTCAGTTTTCATTCAGTAAATAGTTGAGATTTTGTACATTTTTCGTAACGTAGGGAAAGCTTTATATCTTGATCGGGATACCAACAATTTTACTCTCAGTCTAAACAGAAGTTAATATAACTGTTCAATAATTGTTCAAAAACTGCATAAAATTTCTATCAGGGATGATCGAGAGAACACTCAGTGTCTTTGAAACATCTGTATTTATGAATAATTTCTACAGTTTCGTTTGAATTTCATCAGCACGAAAATGTTTTCGATCCCCTCACTGACGTACGCGCCATGATTCGTGATATTAGTCATCGACTGTTATACGTAGCGCACTCACTCATACATTTATACTGGTTTATGTTCCATGTAACACAGCTTGGTGAATGAGTATTTTTATACATGATTCACGCCACAACCGTGTATTCTCTTCGTTCTATAGGGAGCGCGTTGAAGCTCCCTACACACACACACACACACATTGCGAAAACATAGGATTACGTGTAGGAAAGATATGAGAAAGTATAAAGCGAAGTGTTAATATTCTTGGAATCAGCGGCGTATTTTTTTCAAAGCCTAACGCTTTCTAGACAAATTTTCAAGTGATCTTAAAATAATTAATTTGCATATACATTAGGAATAGTTAACTCAATAACAACCAACAAACTCAACAAATTAACTCGCACAATACTTGTGTGTGTCAAATAGTGTATATTAAAGTACAAAAAAAGTTAATTCGTATAGAGAAAAAAATATGCTTAAATTAAGGTGTTAATGAATCAAAACGTATTTTAGTTGTAAAAATCAGAATTTCTGGTTATTGAAACCATAATTACTGGTTATACTGGTTATTGATTCATAATTAACACGATATCTGGTTCTTAGAACCAAATTTGATTGAAAAAAATCAGAAATTCTGTTTTGTCTAACCAAAATACATTTCATTGTCACGTTAATTCCAGCAAAATTTTTTTCTCAACACATAGATTTTAAATATCCAATGCTCTTAACGAAGTTTTGAAGCTTAAACTTCGTTATCTTTCTAGCAAATCTATCGAGTTCAAATATTGGATTTCAAAAGATTTAAAAAACATATTTTTTGGAAATCCTCGCGAACCTTGGATTTTCAAGTGCATCCTAGTTTATAAAGCTACATAAAATTGTCTATTTATTTTAATTGAAACATATTACTTTAAAATTGCATAAAATTAATAATAATATTCTCATATATTACGGGCAAATATTCGGATTACGAAGAATCAGCCAATTCCTAGAATCTTTCGATATTATATTTACATTGTTTATACTTATCAAATGTGTCAACGGTATCAGTTTGTTGACTGTTCAAGATCTTTACTCGCAATAATAAGTAATAAAAGTTTGAAATGGCATGTAAAGAAAACAGTGCCAGCTTCGGTAAACGTCATTTTTCATATGGAATAGAGTCGATCGTATCGTGAAGTTGCGTAATTATTGGGCACGCAATAAATATAGCTACAAGAGAAAGATACATGTTAAACAAAATTCTTTCAAACATGCCACATATCTTTAAAAAAATGGGGGGAGTGTAGTGGAAAGGTTATAGTACAAAATATTGATTCATTTTTTTTTACATTTAGAAAATGTATAAATAATTTTTATAAAATACTCGAATATATATCACACACACATACACATAGCGTGTCTCAGACCACCATTCTCAAACTTGGCGAGAGCGTAGAACGGATTGAGATAAACATAAAAATTCTATACCGTTTTACGATATTTGTAGTCTCGTGATTGGAAAGGTTAGCCCCACAAATTTTGGAAAAAACAACTTTCTATACATCATTCGTTTGCACACTGTTTGTACATGTATGCATACTCAGTATTTTCGTTTGCACACCTCTCATTTAAAAGATATTAAAGAAACAAATTTAGGGGGGCTAACTTTACAATAGCCTCCCAATTTTAAGCAAATTAAACTCAAATCGACTTAATCGATAGATTTTCATTTGCACATTGCGAAACAAGTTGACTTTTCGTTTGCACATCTCTCATTCACAATTTATTTATACATTAATTACGAGGGGCTAACTTCATACTTGCTAATTTTAGGTTTTTGCAAAATTCTAACTTCCAATCGTTGTAATCGATAGACCTAGAACTAGAAGTATGTAAACGAAAAGATGACTTGTTTCGCATTGTGCAAATAATTATTTATCGATTACAAGCATCAGATGTTAAAATTGAGGGGCTATTGTGAAGTTAGCCTCCCTATATTTTTTTAATATCTTTTAAATGAGAGGTGTGCAAACGAAAATACTGAGTGTGCATACTTGTGCAAACAGTGTGTAAACGAATGATGTATAGAAAGTTGTTTTTCACAAAAATTGAGGGGCTAACTTGACAAGGCTGATATTTGTAATAAATTTCGAGATATTAATTAAAGAAATAGAAATAGAAATGGATGATCACACGCGATATAGTAGATGAACTGTAATAGCGTCGTTTATCACTATATATTGTATACTTATACATTAGGTTAAACTGGACAAAAAAGTCTTGTATTACTTCGCAAATAAATACATCGATTTTCAGATATTAAAGAAAATTTATACATTATCGCGTACAATCATGGAACCATTTTCTTCCATGAATAATTAAAAATCTACGTGGTTATTTGCAAAATAATAAAGAGTTTTTTGTTCAATTTGACCTAATATACAAGCACACAACAGCATACATCGCCACTATAGCTCATCTATCATATCGCGCGTAATCATTTATCAATCGTCTTTAATTAATATCTTGAGATTTATTACGAATATCGCAAAACGGTATGGGACTTTTGTGTTTACCTCAATCTGTTCTACGCTTTCGCGAAATTTGAGAAGGGTGATTTAGGACACCTTATGTATGTCTGTGTGTATATAGTATATATATATATAAATGGTGTCTGACTCGTACCGTACCAGAGCTAATATATAGCTAAAATAGATCGAGATGAATAATGGAATCGGTGCCTTTCTTTAAACAACCACGTGAAATTTTGAGATATTAACCACATTATGTATTCCAAACTCTCCTTCGCAATTTTTTTGGGAACGTAGAACGGATTGAGGTGAATATAAAAGTCTTATACCATTTCGCAATATTCACAGTCGAAATATTAATTAAAGAATTGGTGAATGATCACGCGCAATATAGTAGTGGCGATATGTACATGTACTTGTACATTAGGACAAATTGAACAAAAGACTTGAAAAAAAACTTGAAAAAAAACAAAACTCTTTATTATTTTGTAAATAATCACGTAGATTTTTAGTTATTAATAAAAGAAATTGTTATATGATTGTGCGCGATAATACACAAATCTTCTTTAATTTATATCTAAAAATCAATGTGGTCATTTGTAAAATGATAAAAAACTTTTTTGTTCAATTTGACTTTTATATTCATCTCAATTCGTTTTACGTTCCCACAAAAATTGCGAAAAAGAGTCCGAGACACTTTGTATACGTGTGTGTGTATTTGTTTTTGTTATACACAAAGATTGCTTGTCGTTTTTCACGAAATTAGTTTTTAAATAAGATAGTGCAATTTTTTGTGAGAAAAGTCGCATGTGTGTGTGTTTAGTTTTGTAAAATAGAATAATTTAATATATATAATATATATAATAGAAGAATAAACCTTTTTATATTTTTAATGCGAAATCACAACGTTCGACATAACGTTTAACACAACGTATCAAGTATCTATTAAGCTGTCTGTCTAAACAACTGTTGACTGTCTCTGCCAACGACTGTCGTCAATGAGACTTGCAACTCATGCATTAGTTCTCGTTCTTGAATTATATGATTGAGATTGATCATGCTACCCACGATAATAAGACAATAATATGTCATATCACTATCATGCCACTTTTTATCGAATAATCCGTGCACTCATAAAGAAGAGATTCTTTTTGCAACAATGTCGTTCAATAACTTCAATATTATACATAGCAAAATATATACTGCATTTAAGTAAATGTTATTCATTTCACATATTTTATAAGTTTATATATCCGCAAAGTATGTTTATAATAAGCATCACATTTATTCAAAATATATTCTGGATCCTGGCTTCGCATTCAATCAAGGATATTAAATGGAAAGTAATTTGCTTACTACATAAATTAATCTTCAAATTTTTCTTCGGTGAAGTTTTATAATATTCTCATAGGGATAATAAATTCTACTTTTAAATACATTTCTTTTCTTAATGAGATTTTAACGAAATATATGATAATAAAATACATGATAATTTTTTCAAACTTGCGATGAATATATATTTTAAGACTTTTATTTATTTTATTTTATTATCAAGAAATTATTTATTTTATTTTATTATCAAGAAAATATTTTTTGTTGAAGATAATCACTACTTAAGAGGAGAGAAGTAATCACTTTCCAACAGTAAAATGATATTTTTCTTTGTGTATATAGTATGACTATATATATCAATTTGCTTACGGAAAATTAACGAAAAATTAACGAATTCTCAACGACATATCGGTATGTAATGTGCAGAAGCCGATTCACACAGAGAAAATTTAGTAGTACAAATTACATTAAAATTATATTCCATTGTACAAAAATTTTCTTTTTGTAAAGCTGGAATATTGACATTTATTAGTAAATCATTATAAGATTAACAAATTTTACAAACTACTGAATATGCGATACAAAATTATTGAAGCAAGTACAATAATTTTCTAATAGAAAATCAAATGTATATAATATTTTTAACCTTTCTAATGATGATATAAAATGTCTGCACGATTTTCTTTTAAATAAATACATTTAGATTTTTTCTTTATTGCTATTTTCTTTGAAGAATTTTGAAAAATAGAATAAAAATATATCTAATTTGTATTTGCTATAAGATTGAAAAAAGATACATAAACTATTTGAAAAAGATACAATAATTATATACAATAATTTAATATATACAATAATTTAAGAGCAAATAAAAAACGAACTTAATATTTTACAACAATACTTTTCTGGGCATACCACTTAAGGGTCATAATTTCTCTATAATCCAAGATTTAAAAATTTTGTTTAATTAAAAAAAATCGTACTATAATATTTTCTCCGTGTATGTGTCAAATAAATGCATTATAAATCCACGTGCCAGCGTGGATACTTTCAATAAGAAATTTTATCCGTATACTGAGGGAAAAATCATCTTAAAATCAACAAATATTTCTTTGATGGGTGCCATTAACATATTTACTTAAATCTAAATTCTCTTTATTTAAATCAAATATTGTTTACCTGAGTTGTTTACTTAAGTAAACAATATTTGGTTTAAATAAAGAGAATTTAGATTTATAAATAAAAATGTTAATGACACTCATCAAAGAAATATTTGTAGATTTTAAGATAATTTTTCTCCCAGTGTACTTGCGGATTATACAAAGGTCGGCGCGTCCGAAATTTCATACCTTCGTGTGACAACCGACTCCGCGAGCAAGTCTTTTCGTATTCTGGAGCTCTTGTGACTAGATGCTCGATCGATCTCTCGTGCAATCGATATGCTACAGTTTCCGTCGCTAAAAATACCGAAGGGAAAGCGGAGGATCGCAAAGTCAACGCAACGTTGGTGGCACACATGAAAATGTAACCGACGCGTTGGACCGTAGAGACGAGTAAAGACTGGTTATAGTGCAAGCCGCTGCCTGATTATATACGCCAGTGACACTTGTGTGCACTCATAACCTAGGCACTAGCGGCACTAAAACACCGAGCCACGTCCTTCCTTATCTTCGACAATTATCGTTATCGTCCGCTCTGTCGTGAATCGCGAATCGCGCGTGGGCAATTCACTTTTACAGCCATCGGATTTTCTAATTGCATTGTTATTCGGCCTTAACGCATATCCCGTGTTGAAACGTTAAAGAACAGCCTAACAAGTACAATTTGGAGTTTCTCAATGAAGATATTGTTAAAGCATAAAATTGCAATTTTTTTAAATCATTATCCTATAGCATCTTGAGCTAATGTTGTCAATAACGGCACGCGATTTTTTTTAGAAAATCCGATTTTTATTGAGTAATACAAATAACCCCGGAAACACAGGAAAAGAAATGCATATTATGCATGTGAAATAGGCGCGATAGGAATAAGTCGAGAACATCTTTAGGCTTAAGGTTGTTTCAGGTCATCTTCGTGTTATGTCAATTACCCGTAAATACCCAGATGGACTTTTATGATTATCACGGTATAAGAGAATCGCGCGATGATGTAAGCTCTATAATTTATATAATTTCTTCATAATTTCTCTATAATTTCTAATTTCCAATTTCTTTTTGTATAATTTCTAATTTCTTTTAATTATATTTATGCATGTGTAAGACAAACATATTATATTACTAATCATTAAATTTACATTATACAGACCTGTATTAATAGTTGTCACCTGCAATTTGTTTTATATTGGGATATTCCGATTTTTTTTCAGAGTAAGATCCAAGTTTCATTTTAGTTAAATTATAATATATATGACAATAGTATCTGCAATCGCGATTCAACTCACAATCTAACTCTGAATTGAAATCTGACTATTTTACTTATGATCCATCTCAAGTAATAACTATTAATACGGATCTAAATTATTTAAATTTTTTGTTACATTAATGCAGAAATCGACTAATAAATATTGGCAAATTTACATACACTTATTGGTCAAGGTAGTTGATTAATGATAAGTTGAAATTTTCGTGGTAAAAAAAGATAACTCTGAATATTCAAAACTATAATAATTCAATTCTTATCTTTTTAACAAAAAGGATTGACGATATGTAAATTTGCCAGTATTTATTAATTGATTTATAAAGATTAAGTTATGAGCAGTTCATATGCATATTTATAAAAATAATGAGATCAGGATAGAGATAGAAAAATTTTAAGTTTAATAAAAGAAAATGTGAGTGAATGAAAATCTGAGTGTAACTTTTAGTAGATTTGTAGATAGTACATACGAACTCACTTTCAAGTAGGTCAATCGAGTCTTCTCACATTTAATTTTTACATTATTATCTAATGTTGATTATTATCAATGCGTAGATAAAACGAACGATACATTGTAGTATCTCTCATTTGCCGATAATCTTCCTAAGGAAGAAAATATTTCCCGCTAAAGTGCGAGCGAGAGATTAAACGACGAGAAGCAGGAATATCGGAGCAGAATATGACATGATAAAACAGATTGATTGGCCGAGTGTCACGCAACGTCACTCTTATAAAGAGGATCGATGCGACGCTGTTGCATAGCGCGAGTTATCGAACTAAAAATTCTGCCAGCATATTCGCGCGCGCGACCACGATAAAAACTATAAGAAGCGCGAACACGCGTAACAAAGTCGATTCGTCGAATTAGTAATTACAAACAACCTCGAACTGTCGTAAAAGTTGGCGCGACCTTATACCCATCCATGCTGAGAGAAAAATCATATAAAAAATAAAACAATATTCGGTGGACACATAAATAATAGATTTACTTATACTAACACATGAATATTTTTACATTGAGAAAAATCTTTTTCACATAAGAAATCTATAAGATTTATAGATTTCTATAAAACTGTAACTTTTCGTGAAAACAATTGTTTCTTGATATATTCCAATTTACTTATATTCTATTTAAATAGATTTAATTTTGACTTTTTTCATTTAGATAGAATTAAATTAAGTTAGATAGGATTTTGCAATTAGATAGGATTTTTAAATTAGGTAAGGTTTAATTTTAACTTTTTTCATTTAGATAAAATTAAAATAAGTAGAACAATCTAGTTTTATTTAAATAAGAAAATTTAAATAAATAAGAAAATGTAAATAAATTTAAGTAGATAAGAAAATTTAAGTAAATTTAAATAAGTAGGAAAATATAAATACATTTAAATAAGTAGAAAATTTAAATAATTTTAAATAAGTAAAAAATTTAGATTTAAATATATTATTACTATAGCTATCGAATAAATGATTTTTATTTCTCAGATGATTTTCTTTCGGTGTACTTGGCCGTCTTATTACGCCGTCTCGCAAAGCACTCTATGATATTTCGCAAGAATTGCGATTGGATTCATTAGGGGAAACCTTTTATTACTTAAATAGAATATATCCATTGAACTATCGGTCGTCGTCAATATTACAATGCACGATAAACTTTGAAACCCATCTCTGCGTTTTATTGCGACTATTGCGCGACGCGCGTGCCGTGTCCGCTAATCAATGCTCGTAGTAGTCAGTCTCTAAAATAGAAACAGTCAGCGTTCTTGGAGCTTGATACAGTGCGGAATCTCGATTATCGAGGCGCCAGATAATTTTACGCTCGATTGTAAGAATCGTGTTATATAGTAAAAAGATAAAGATCGAACGTTTCGTTCGGATGTTAATTGTCAAATGTTCATATACGTTCACATTAACTCGCATAGTAATCGATCTATTTTATATATTCCTAATGCTAATCTATGATTAGCTTTGAGAACTTCTCTGTGAGAACTTCGGCATTCTGTTCTACACGTGCCAACAAAAGATCCCAAATACTTTTTATGATAATTTTAATGAAATTATGCGTAAAATTATGAAGTTACGATAATTATGAATTACATTATAATAGATTAAGGAAGAAAAATAACTGAATATCTAAGATAGCAAAAATTTTAAACTATTCATAGTTTTATTCGCTTCTTGACTGAAAAAAAAATTATTTTCGTATACTCATATTTTCGTAAACTTTCGTGTATATATATATATATATATATATATATATATATATATATATATATATATATATATATATA